GAAGTGTGTGGTGCCCAGGACGGCATTCATTTAATCTGTGGGGCAGTTTCAGATTCAGTTTCTCAGGACTCCCTGTCCCCATGGGCTGAGCATGGGGGCTGAGGCTACCATACTTGGAGAAGACAGCCATAGGAAACCTGGTGGGAGGTGGTTCAAGAGGGAAAACATTAATAAAACTACCTCTCACTTTCTGTATTTTCTCAAAACAAACAGTCCCTGCTGGAGCTTCCCTAAAGCCTCCAGTTTCTTTCTCAGGAACGTTACAAACGTCTCTCTCCCTGTCTCTCGAAGCTGTGCCATTTTGGTCTCTGTTCCTAAGATATATCATGATTGGGACCAACAAAAACAGTTGGGAATTTTTGGTGGTTCCTATTTCTGTTTGTTGGGTTTTCCCCAGGCCTGGCTCAAGAAAACTGTCAGAGTAGGGGCGAGTCCCAGAGCAGAGCTCACAGCATTGAAGGAAACTCCAAACCCGACCGGCATTTCCCTTCCCCTGCAGTGGGAAGGAAACGAGGAGGGGCTCACTGGGCTGAGGGTGCAGATCGGGAAAGGGAAGGGAACCTCTGCCACCAGAACTGCCTCCCTCCTCCTTGGCTTGACTGGGGCTGTCAGGGGTCAGGTGGAGAGTTAGGAAACCTTGCTGGAGGAACCGGGCCCTTGCTCACATGCACCTCAGTGTGCAGGGAGATTTGCCTGGCCTCAAACTGGCAGTAAAACCAGAGGAGCCTTGCTGGAAAGGCACCAGCTCCATGCCTTTAGGCTTCTTCCCGTTATAGGTTTTTATTATTAGATGTTTTGCTGGTTCCCTGTGATTTAGGAATCACTCCCAGAGTTGCTTTCAGTTTGAATTCATCTTCCACTTTTCCTCACATCTCCTATTGTAACTGTTTTGGCTGTGACTTACCTCCCTTACTTCTTCCTTGGAGTCTCTTGCCATGTCCCCCACCCCTCAGGATAATGATATTTAAATTGGCACCTAGTCTTAGAGGAAGCCAGAGCAGTTATCAGTGAAAGGCTAATGGATTGCTCTGTAGGCAGAATGTTGAGAAGCAATTGCTGAAGGTGGGATGGAGGCAGAGAGAGAGAGACAGCCTAGAAGCAAAAGGGCAGGTCCCTCAGACATCAGAACATTACACAAGATTTTCAGGAGGAAGTGGGGTGGGGACTGTGTTGAACACCCACAGTGTTCCAGACACATACAGACATAAAATATTTATCATTTAATCCTCAGTTAAAACCCTGTGAAGTAGTGAGATTATCTCCAGTTTATGGATGCGTTCACCAAGGCTCCATAACTCTGAAGAGCCCAAAGTTGATCTTGGGCCCTCTGACTTCACCCACATTTAGTGCCCTCTCCTTTCCAAGACAGCTACTGCCTCCTTTCTGCTCAGCAAGGGTCTCGATGAGGAGTTAGCAAGAACTTAACTCAGCTTCTGCCTTCTTGGAGCCTACAGTCTCTGGAACCACTGAATAAAAAATATCAAGGAAACAAACCCTTTTGACTGAGACCGGAACTGTGTCAAGTTTGCTCCTTTGCTGTCCCCGGAACTCAGGAAGTTGTCATTCCTAAGGGCAGAGTGGCTTCCTCAGGACATTGGAGCCCTGCCAGACTCACACACATTATCAGGTGGAGGCAAAAGCCCTGATGCCCTTGTCTAGCAGGAAGACAACTGTCCGGGCCAGGCTCTGGTTTATGCCCCCTTGGCAGGTGGCTCCCACTGGCAGCCAGTAACCCGTTTCTTCTGAGAATGCTGGAGCTTGGGGAAATTCCCCTTACCCATCTCCTTCCCCATCACACTTCAGCCCAGAAGAAGCAGAGAAGTCTGAGACCACTGTCAAGAAAGTGCCACCCAAAGCTCTAGACAGGAGGATGTGGCTGTGGTCAGAGCAGATTCATGCCTCTACCACCTGTTTCCATAATTCGGGGTTACTCCTTCCTGGGGATCTAGAGTTTGACCGGGTCTCTGCTGTGCCTCTTCCATGCTCTTAGGCTGGGACTACCCAAGGGAGTGACTTTGCCCAGTTTTTCAAACCGAGGGGACCAAGTGTTTCCTCCTCAGTTCACCTGGTGGAGAAGTGTAAGCCACAGCAGGTGACAGTGGGTGGCTGAGGGAGGAAGTTGGCATAGACAGGATGTGATGTCTGCCACAGCAGTGCCAGGCTGCCCCCTCCCCCATTCCAGCAGCTTTCTTCCAGGGGAGACAACAGAACTATTTTCATGGCACAGACTTAGGAGAAATGGTCAGATGGCAGCGATGTGTTTAGGATATGCACAGAGCCAGGACCAGTCCTGAGGACTGTTTCTGCTCAGTTCTGTCTTGAGTTCAGCTGGCAGCAGCCTGGCCCCAGTTAGGCTGAGTTAGGAGACCTGCTCTGGGTTGACCTTTGAGTCCTTGTTTTGTTGAGGCCTCTTGCTCCTATCCTGCTGTCCACACGGATATGCTGAGATTGACCCTTAACAAAGTAGTTTCAGAGAGAACATTCCAGGCTTGTGTTTGACCATCTTGCCATCCATACTACATAGACTGTGAGGAGGACTCAGCCTCACTTTCCTGTGGAAGTTCAGGCAGATGCATGGGGCAGCAGGAACCATAGGGAGAGGTGTGATGTGGGGCTCTCTTCCCCTTCTTTGTTTCTCTCACCTGCCCCACTTTCTTCTCTCACCTGCCCCACTTTATAAATTCTTCCATGTATAAATTCCTTGGCCGGGCGCGGTGGCTCACGCCTGTAATCCCAGCACTTTGGGAGGCCGAGACGGGCGGATCACAAGGTCAGGAGATCGAGACCATCCTGGCTAACACGGCGAAACCCCGTCTCTACTAGTAAAAACACAAAAAAATTAGCCGGGCGAGGTGGCGGCGCCTGTGGTCCCAGCTACTCAGGAGGCTGAGGCAGGAGAATGGCGGGAACCCGGGAGGCAGAGCTTGCAGTGAGCTGAGATCGCGCCACTGCACTCCAGCCTGGGCAACAGAGCGAGACTCCGTCTCAAAAAAAAATAAAATAAAATAAAATAAATTCCAACCGAAGACTTCAACCCTACTTCCTTTTTGAGCCATAGTGACCTCATTTCCAGCTAGTAGCTGGGCTTGTAGCTCAGACCTGGGACCTCTTACACATGGTTTATTATCACCTTACTGCCCCCACTAGATGCATGTTGGGAGCTGGAGATGGTAAGAATAGACATAGCACTTTAGGGGCTAGATGAGTATACAGCTGATTTAAGAGTATATCTGCGTTATGTTTATAATAAATAGATAGTGTGACAGAATAAATGTTTAAGGATTTTCTTTTGATTCCATCAAAAGTTGGAGGACCTCCTTCTAGGATTTGTTTGCTTCTTCTGGAATAATGCAGGGCCTATGTGACTCCTCAGGGACCCTGGATGCACACAGTTCATGTCCCCAGGGATGAGAATGCCAAGAACTGGGCAGAGGTAAATGAAGTGGTCATGCTTGGGTTACCAGAGAGTTAGAGCTGAACTTGGACAGTAGCTAAAGGAGAGAAGGATGAGAGGCAGCCTTCTAGGTGTCTGGCACTATGCTCGGGAAGAAGCTGAATTTGTGGGAAGTCACATGGGTTATCATGCAGCTGCAACACCTCGGGTAGGGGATCATATTTGATTCAAGATTACCAGGGAGCAGGTACAGTGATCTGATTAAAGTGTCAGACTGCCTTTAGTCTTTTTTGTTTGTGTGTTTTGTTTTCTTTGAGATGGAATATTTCTCTGTTGCTTAGGCTGGAGTGCAGTGGCGTGATCTTGGCTCACTGCAGCCTCCACCTCCTAGGTTCAAGCAATTCTTGTGCCTTGGCAACCTGAGTAGCTGGGATTACAGGTGTGCACTACTGCGCCCAGCTAATTTTTGTATTTTTGGTAGAGACGGGATTTTGCTATGTTGGCCAGGTTGGTCTTGAACTCCTGGCCCCAAGTGATCTGCCTGCCTTGGCCTCCCAAAGTGCTGTGATTACAGGTATGAGCTACTGCATCTGGCCCAGACTGCCTTTAGAGGTAAGGGCTGTGACCTGGAACAAAGACAGCCAGACTGATGAGAAGAAAGGTTTGGCTGAATGGGGATAAAGGTAGGGAACGTAGCCTCTAGCATGGGTAGGGCTAGTCCATGGATGAAGTCCTTAGGCTTCACCTACTCATTCTCTCATACCTTATTCAGTCACCAAACAGTGGTGAACAAAATAAAATGATTCCTGGGCTGTCCTTCAAATAGCCTATATTAGAGTGGCTTGCCAAGGGGTTAGGGTGCTTTGCGGTGTCTTAATTAATTGGGAGATGTGTCATTAGTAATTTGCTACTAACAATTAAAGTCTGGTACTTTTGTGAATTTTTGCCTAAATATTTTTTTCCTAAAAAAATTTAAGCAGTTATCTTCATGCTAATGTTCTTCTCATTCACTTGTATGCTGATATGGGCAAGAGGGTCACAGTTATAGCATCTACATAGGTTGTGGGTGGCTCAGGATTCACCCATGGGAGTGGGTGTTGTAGGCAAGTTACCTGTCTCTCAGGTTGTGGGGGAAAAGCAAACTGAAAAAAATTGCTGCTTTAACCTGGTGGCTTTTCAAATTTTTTGACCCGTCTCATGTTCCCATCACATTTTATGGTATGATGTATGTATATGACACATTTGTGTATATACATAAAATATAAAAGAAACTAAAGCTTCACAAAGCATTATTTATACTTCCTATTTGCAATGAATTCTGGTATCTTCTATTTTAATCTGCTCGTTTTCATTTAAAATAGAGTTAATTTTGACTCATTAAACTGATTCTACGACCAGAGGTTTGGAAAACATTGCTCAACCAAACTCAACTAAATATGAAGGGGAGGCTGGAGGACTGCTCCACTTTTCCAAGCTTGCCTTATCAGCGATGGAGTGTCAGGGTGAAGTCTGAGGGCCCAGTAGCAGAAAGGTGTGGGCGGTCTAGTCTTTCTCTTTTCCAGATGAGGGGAGGTTTCAGCCTTGTTGACTCAGGTTCTCTCCTCAGTGCTCCATGAACCTGCCTCCAGACAAGGCCCGGCTTCTGCGGCAGTATGACAATGAGAAGAAGTGGGATTTGATCTGTGACCAGGTATGGGGTTTCGGAAAGAGGAGGGAGGTGGGGAGTTGTGCCTTGGGCTAGGTAAAGCTGTGGGGCCAGAGACATTGAGTGCAGCTCTGGGTCCCTTGAGGAACCCTGGCCTAAGCTTGGCCTCATCTGTGTTCACTTTCTTTTCCAAGAAGATTCTCGTAACAGAGACAGAGCTAGCAGGCCAAGTTCTCCTCTAGCTCCCACAAAGAGCTGTCTTGATTTCTTCCAATGGGCAATAGTATAAGGGGGTTTGTATAGATCAGGGGTATAGGATTGGCTGTGCAGGTTCAGGGCTATGCCTGGCAGGGTGCTCAAAGGACTGTTGATCTCTCACTCTGTCTTAGCCCTGGCAAATAGCAGGGTCTTTCTCATTATCTCGGGGCCTCTAGGAATGAGAAGCCCCAGGCTCTAGTCTTTTGTTCCAAAATCTCAGAAGAGTCAAGGTCTGAAAACTCTCCCTACATGAACTGTGTTGAAAGCTAGAAGAGAATAGAAATCATTACTTTGCTCAGAGTTGAGAATCTTCTAACACATATGACCTGGCTCTTTCCCTTGCATGCATTTGAAGATCATGAGTCACAAGTCTGTGAACTCAGACAGGCCTGTATGCAGGGCTGGGAGAGTTACCTTTTACCTTTTTACATCTTGGTAGAGATGGAAGTATCTGGCAGTGTGGGTAGTGTGTTTACCCAGCACTTTGCCATGTGCAGTTTTATTATTTCTTTTCAGGCTCTGGGTGAAATAATAATAGGTAATGTTTATTGAGTGCTTGTTATGGACCAAGTACTCAACACACTGAAATACCTCATTTAGTCGTCACAGAACCCTCTGAGGAAGGCAGTGTTGGCATTTTACAAATGAAGAACCCAAGGCTCAGTAACTTGCCTAATGCTAGTAAGTGATGAAGCCAGGGCTGAGCTCCGGCAAGCAGATGCCAAGTCTGTGCTAACTGTTCTGTTCCACCGCCTCCCCAGGTCATGCTGCTTGACATAAGCTAGGAGTATGCTTCAGGGATCTTAGTCCAAGTCCCTTCTCCACCAAAGGTCAATTTCCTTGTGTTCTGCATTAAGAGGAGTTGGTTAGCACCTGCTTGGGGTTTGGAGAATAGTAACCCTTTGGTATTGAGGTTCTTTAATTGATGATCTCTCAGTCTTTTCTAGGTCAATTTCAGCTGTTTCTCAGACCTTTCGTTTTTTTCTTCTATTTGTCTTTAGGTCCTATTCTCTAACATTATATCATTCTCCTGGACATTTTTCAGCCCCTCCACTCTTCAGATATCCAGCTCTTCAGATATCTTGGTGGTGGCAGCCCTAATAGGACCAGAATGCCAAGGGGTACTCCCTGAGTTTCTTTTTGGGTCAGATGAAGGGGTTGGGCCAAAGTAGGGCGTGGTCCCAGGCTCTATGTAGAAGGGAATCGAGGGATGACCTTGCTGAACGCAGCCTTCAGTATTTGAGGTTGCTTTGGATTGCTGGGGTCTGGGCAAGGAGCAGTGTTTGCAGCCCTGAGCTGTGTCAGCTCAGCAAAACCATTCCAGTCCCAACCGCAGAGTTCATTGCTGAGAAAGTTGGATTCTACAAGGCCAAGCTCCTCTCCCCTTGGCATTCCTAACCCATATCCATTAGTTGGCCAGGCAGTGAACAGCATTTCCCAATCATATCTTTTTTTTCTTTCTTTTCTTAGAGAGGGATCACACTCTGTTGCCCAGGCTAGAGTGCAATGGCATGATCATATCTTACTGTAGCCTCAAACTCCTGGGCTCAAGGGATCCTCCCACCTCAGCCTAAGTAGCCAGGGCTACAGGCATGTGGTAACCACCATGCCTGGCTAATTTTTTAAAGTTTTTTTGTAGAGACAGAGTCTTTCTATGTTATCCAGACTATTCTGAAACTCCTGGCCTCAAGCAGTCTTCCTGCCTTGGCCTCCTAAGCCCAATCAATTATGTCTTTGTTTTGGGTGCTATTCACAACTCTGTAATCCTCAATATCTTTGTAGCAAGCAGCACACTTTAAAAATACTTTTTGACATAGAAAAACATTTTAGGCTCAGGGAGCACTAATTGGAGGCGGAGGAGATGGCAACAGATGGCAACACCTGGGGATAAGTCAAGGAAGGTAACCTCAAGTTTAGGTGATGTCTAGAGCCAGGTGACAACTTGAAGAGGCTGAGTCCCCTCACACTGAACACTATGAGTGCTCTTCTTCCTCAGTGCCCTCCTCAGGTCTCTGGTTGTCTTTGTGGATACGCATATGCATGTTTCCCTTACAGGAACGATTCCAGGTGAAGAATCCTCCCCACACTTACATTCAGAAACTCCAGAGCTTCTTGGACCCCAGCGTAACTCGGAAGGTGAAGTATGAGGCAGAGAGGCCCCGTCTTGCCAGCCTTTATAGTCCTGTGGGGTTTGGGGGCAAACCCTTTGACTTGGATATTGGACATCTGTTTCTGAGCCTTGGGAGCTGGATTTCAGGGTTCTGTGGCCAGGGGCCTGGAATGGCTGGCCAGTAATGGAGGGAAAATCTATAACTGCCCTCTTGTATTCTTCTCCTTCTCTACCCTTTTTTACAGAAGTTCAGGAGGAGGGTGCAGGAGTCAACCAAAGTACTAAGGGAGCTGGAGATCTCTCTTCGCACCAACCACATTGGGTGAGTTGGATTGGCCACAGTAGCCTCTTCACCTGGCCCCAGGCTGTTGGCTGGGCACACAGGATCTGCTGTCCTCTGGGGATGCTGTTCATCTTCCCTGCCATGAGGCAGAGTTGCCCCTTGAATGGCTTCTGGCTCCCCAGAGCTTTGGACTGTTTCTTTTCTGACTTTTCTGCCCCCTCAGCTCTGCCAGCTGCTGACTAGATGTTTCTGGCAACCTTGAGGCCTCTCCTGGGGTCCTCCGCCTGTGGCTTTGAGTGGAAGACATTCCCACAGCAGTTGAGACTGGAGTCTGCCTGTGGCCTGGTGCTGGGCCAAGCGAGGCCCAGAGAAGGCTGAGGGTGGGGGGAACATACTGTATTGGGTAGCTGAGACCTACTTCCCGTTCTGTGACTATTTGGACTTTTTGGTGCCTGGGAGAAGATAATCTTAGTTCATGAGCAGAAGAAGCTTCCTTAAGCACCAGGAAAGATGTAAGGCAATGGGGGCCAGGAGCTGAATGTTTTCTATATTCACAGACCGTGGTGCTCCCAACCCATTGACAGGGCCCTTAGGAACTGTGTGAGTCTTTTTTTTTCCGGTCCCTGAGTGGGAAACCAGGAATTGCTGAACAAGCAAAAGGCTAATGTGTGAGGTACAGTGAAAGAGGGTATTGGCCTCAGTGTTACGAAACTGTAATCAGCAAAGATACATGAAAGTGAGAGAGAGAGAGAGAAAGTGTGTATATGTGTGCGTATGTGTGCTCATACAAAAGGACAGTGAGGGACATGTGATGTAGAACTGCAGGCGGGGTTACAGACCTGATGGAGGGCCTGGCACAAATGTCCAGTGCTTATGAGTGAGCAGTGGAGGCCCGGGTGGGGGCGGGGTACCCAGGCTTCCTGACAGTGGGGTAGAGACAGCCAAATGACATCATCAGCCTTTCCCCTCCTGTCGTAGCAGCAGCCCTCATCCACCCCCAGGGCAAGCCTTCCCGGGGTTCTTTAGAGGGAGAGGACACCTGTGTGTGTAGCCAGTTGTAGCAGCAATCACAAGGGAAACAGCACAGGAGAGAACAGGAAAGGGATGGTTCCTGGCCTCAGTAACTGTGCTCTGGTGGCCCAAGTATGGCTTCTGTAACTCATCTGTGAATCAGACATTGAAAGCCAAGCCACTGAGAAAGGTGTGGCCAAGCCTCTTCCTTTGTTTGGTGAATCCTTCATGGAAGGACAAAGTGGCAGGGGCTGCTTAGTACCCTTGTGTGTGAGGGCAAGAATGACACCAGTGGCAACCCTGAGTGCTACCTGCCACCCGAAGCCACCTACCACTCTGCATTCCTCCATAGTCCCTTCTGTCACTCTCAGCCCTTCTGTCTTCTTTTTGTTTGTTTTTAAAGACAGGGTCTTGCTCTGTTGCCCAGGATGAAGTACAGTGACGTGATCATGACTCACAGAAGCTTCAGCTTCCAGGGCTCAAGTGATCCTCCTATCCCAGCCTCCCAAGTAGCTGGGAACACAGGCACACACCCATGCCTGCCCATTTTATTTTATGTATTTATTTATTTATATTTTGAGACGGAGTCTAGCTCTGTCGCCCAGGCGTGATCTCGGCTCACAGCAACCTCTGCCTCCCAGGCTCAAGCCATTCTGCCTTTGCCTCCTGAATAACTGGGACTACAGGCGTGTGCCACCACACCCAGCTAATGTTTGTATGTTTAGTAGAGACAGGGTTTTGCCATGTTGGCCAGGCTGGTCTCAAACTCGTGGGCTCAAGTGATCTGCCTGTTTTGGCCTTCCAAAGTGCTGAGATTATAGATGTGAGCCACTGTGCCTGGCCTGCCTGTCCATTAAAAAAATTTTTTTTTTTTAGTAGAGACAGAGTCTAGCCTTGTTGCCTAGGCTGGTCTTGAACTCCTAGGCTCAAGTGATCCTCTTTAAGAATCCCAAAGTGGAGCCACTAGTACCCAGCCTTGTTTTCTTGATTAAGTCTTGCTGTAGTCATCTGAGGATGGGGGTGTGCTTTCATTGGGAGAAGGCCACAGAGCAGTTTATGACAGTCCCTGCTGCCTGCCTCCTCTACCTGATGCCTGCTCCTCTGGCTGCTGGCCAGGAGCTAGGTCCAAAGCAGCGTGGTTCCCAGGCCTGGGGCCTCTTGGTAGTTGGCACACAAGTTAGAGGTCCTGGACGTGGTCCTTTGTTCCCAGGGAATAGCTCAGTGCCTGGCATTTTAGGCATGCCTGCCATCTGAACTGCAGCTTCTCTGGGTAGAGTTATGTGGAAGGATCCTTCCTGGATTTCTGGGAAGCGTTTGTCAGATTTTGGGTGCTTCAGGGTGGAAGGAACCCAGGACAAGGTGGGGAGAGGAGGATCCTGCTTTGGTCACAGCCTGATCAGCCCCAGGGCTTGCAGAAGTTGGGTGTGCAGGAGCAGCAGATGGGAACTCAGGTTCTGGAGAGGGACAGGCTGGGAAGTGGGATTCCGGAGCCTCTCCAGCTCCTCTTTCCCTGGTTTGTATTGGTTTCTGTGCCTTGCCTAAGCACCCTTTAACCTCTCCTCAAAGTGTCAAGATCCCGAAATAGCAGTATAGACTCAGACAGGAAATGAGAAGGGGGTGGGGAGCTGGAGAGCAGACAGACAGGAAACGGGAGGCCTGTTGGCCCCCAGAGAGGAAGCTAACTTCAGGCAGCTCCGGTGTCAGTCAGCTTCAGCCAGGGCCTGCTGCCAAATCTCAGCTGGGCCTGGTGGTGTAGCTCCAGAGTCTCTCCGTAGCTTGGGGTGTGGCTGGCCAACATGGCGCTGGTTTTCCAGCTGTTGGGGAGAAGAGGCCCCGCACGGCAGTTTGGGCAGAGCTTTCCTATAAAGACCCCCAGAAATTCTGAAGGAGTAGAGCACTCTAGATTAGGGTTTCATCCTGAGCGTTTTATGTTTCTGCTATGGAATGAACCTGTCATATAACAGTTCCCTAGATTTGCCCTTGACTTTCATTCCAGGAATATCTCAGCCCAAAATGACTGAAAGCAGAAGGGAAAATAATGCCCTGGGATATGGTCCCTAGGTGCTTTGTTGTCTACCTTCCTGGCTGAGGGGGGGCCCACGTCCTCAGGTTGACTCAGAGTGGTCATAGACATCCTGGAGTTCCTCGGGTTCCTGATCACCCCCATGCTTTTTCAGGTTCTGACAAACTCAACATGACTAAATACAGAACTCCTATACATCTCTGTTTGCTCACTGCTTTCCAAAACTCCTCTCCTTAAACTTGGTAGAGAGTGCTTTGGCCCAGGATACTTCTGTTCCAGAGCTCTCCTTGACTCTTCCTGCTGGTGTCTTGACAGGCTTCAGTCAGGTTGGAGACTTGCTGGCTTCGGTCAAGCACAACTCTGAACACGGGCCTGTGGTAAATGCTCTTGATACTTCCTAAATTCTTCCAACAAACACTGAGCAAGGACATGTGGAGGGATGCAGAAAATAATTGAGCCAGGGTCTGGCCCTTAAAGAGGGAGTACTTGAGAGCTTGTTTGTCTAAAGCACCTTCGTGATAAAGCAAGTGGTATTAGAAGGGCCTGTACTTTCCCCATCCCTGGCTTCCCTGCCTAGGGGAAGTCCATGACCGTGGATGGGTCTGTCATGGGTTTTGATCTTCAGAATTTTCCTAGCCTGGTGCTGGGTTCCAGGAGGAGGAGGTGTTGGATCAGAGGCATGTCACCCTCCTGATCCTTGACCCACTTTAGCAGACCCCTTCCACTGTGTTTCCTTTATCTGCAGGTGGGTGCGGGAGTTTCTGAATGATGAAAACAAAGGCCTGGATGTGCTGGTGGATTACCTGTCCTTTGCCCAGTGTTCTGTCATGTGAGTACCACCCCGGGGCTAAGGTTGGGGACCAGTTGGGGGAGGACATAGTTCTATTCTGCTTTGATAAGGAAGGGTGAGAGTTCAACAATGAAGATGGAAATGGGAATCCTGGACAGGAGGGAGTAGCCCAAGCAGTGGTGTGGAAGTAGGCAGGCAAGCCCAGAGATGTCTGGGGATCAGTGAAGAATGGTACTAGGCTGGAGTAGAAGATAAGATGCATTTTGGAGAATAGGAGAGAGAGATGGAAAGGGAGCTTGGAATCAGAAGCCAAGGCATCCAAATGCCAAGCTGTGAGCAATCCAGGGAAATGTCCTGGCTTCTGGTAGAGATGCCTTGGTGGGATCCATTCATCTTTGCAGAGTTGAGTCTTCCAGAAGCAACTTTGGGTTTCCAGACGTGAGAGGGTTATTACTCCAGGTCATTGTTGAAGAACCCAGGAACAGTGAGCATGACCTTTTGACCTGGATAGAAAAATGAAGTATTCAGGAGTCTTTTTCTAGCAGGCATGGGGGCTTGGAGGCAGCCAGAGTGAGTTAGCACAGAAAAGGTGGCCTGGTATAGTGGAAGGAATGAGAGCTCTTGAGTCAGACAAAGCTGAGTTTGGGTCTCAGTTCTGTTATTTACTATCTGTGTGACTCCAAAGCAAGTTTTTAATCATCTTCTATGAAAGGAGATCCACATTCCAGGGTTGTTGTGAAAATTAGATGATGACGTGTTAAAACACTTAGTATTGTTTGGAACATACTAGGTCTGTATTGTGGTAGCAGATCTACTGTTAATTTCATTATTATTATTTAAAGTGGCATACCCTACCACAATTACCTGAATATATGGAATTACATAATAAACATAATGACCAACACATTTAGACTTATACCTAGGACAGGTCAGCATTAGGGAGACCAGTCTTCCCGGTTTGCCCATGACTGTCCCTAGTTTTCCCCAGCGTCCCAGGAAACTCCTCCATCCTAGGACTCAGCCCTAACATTTTTTTGAGACAGGGTCTTGCTCAGTTGCCCAGGCTGGAGTGCAGTGGCACAATCTCGGCTCACTGCAGGCTTGACTTCCTGTGCTCAAGCAGTCCTCCTGCCTCAGTCCTGCCTCAGTCCTGCTGAGTAGCTGGGACCACAGGTGTACACCACCATGCTTAGCTAACTTTTTGTGTGTTTTTAGTAGGGATGGGGTTTCACCATGCTGCCCAGGCTGGCCTTGAACTCCTGGGCTCAAGCGATCCAGCTTGCCTCGGCCTTCCAAAGTGCTGGGATTGCAGGTGTGAGCCACTGCTCCCAACCAGCTTCCACTTTTCTAACTACTGTCCTTGCCCCCTTGGCCATTCTTCTTTTTCCAGCAGGTCTTCAGAGTCATCTCCTTAGGAATTTGAACTGATGCTTCTTCTACGTTCAGTGCCTCTCTCACCTTTTCCAGGTTATCCTCTGTTAAAGGCAAGAGTGGCCCACTTTCATTCTTGTCTCAGCAGAAGTCATACCTCGTGTGATTGTCCTCTCTCTTAAAAAAATTCTTTTTATAGAAAGAAATGAAAAACATTTGGTGAAATAATTTTTCTTTAAAAATTCAGAGCTTTCATAATAAAAAATGTAGCTCATTTTTCCAAATAAGCCTATCTCTCTTACTTGAAAAGCAAACAAATTCCAGCCACCCTAAACCAAGAGTACCCTGGAACCTCAGTATTGTAGTGTCCATGGCAGTACCTTTGACTCTGTTTTTAAAAAAGAAGGACTCTGTGTGGGGGAGAGAGTGTGTGTTTTGGGAAGGAATGAGAGGGAAAGGGTGAGGCCAAATAGAGTTTGAGTGAAGATACTTGTTTGTAAACTGCATATACCAGTACAAGAGGATACAGTGTTGTTGCTGATGGAGTCAGCAAGCTGTTTCCCTGTCAGGAGATTCCTCTGATGTCTACTTGAGAGCCCCATTAAACACCTCCTGATCATGAGGACACTAAAGCCTGCTCCCACTTCCTTTGGAATATTCTGACATCTGTAGATATCCCTTCCTATTCCAGAAAGCCTCAACCTCTGTGCCTTTGACCCCATATCTGAGCAGAATGCTTCTTGGGGGAGAAGAACCTGTAGGAGATGCTCCCTTAGTCTTTAATGACCTACATGGAGGAAGAGGACAAGAAGGAGAGGGACAGTTTCTCAGAGGGGTATATCCTGAAGTGAGGATGTATAAGAGAGGAGTCTCTGTGAGTTTGTGATCTTGGCCGTCTTCCTTGTCCTGGCCACACTGACAAACTGCTGATGGTTGACTGGGCGCAGTGGCTCACATGTAATCCCAGAGCTTTGGGAGGCCAAGATGAGAGATTGCTTGAGCCCAGGAGTTTTAAGACCAGCCTGCACAACATAGCAAGACTCCATCTCTACAAGAAAATCTTAAAAAATTAGTCAGGCATGGTGGCACGCACCTATAGTCCCAGCTACTCGGGAGGCTGAGGCGGGAGGATTGCTTAAGCCCAGGAGTTAGAGGTTACAGTGAGCCACGACTGTGCCACTGCATTCCATCCTGGGCCACAGAGTGAAACCCTTTCTCTTAAAAAAAAATAATAATAATTGCTGATGGTGGAAGACATCTGGTTCCAGGATCAGGAAGTGACAAACCATTCAACTCCTGCAGAGGCTAGACTACAGGACCCTGGTCTACAATCTCAACTTATAATTTCTTTCCCCAGGGCAACTGAAGCCCAGGGAGCCTGTATACCTGAAAAACCTAGAAACCTCAAGTAGCCAAAACCATAGAGAACCTGGTCATTAAAGCCCAGTGCTAAGATGGGGCAGTGGTGCTCCTCCAAACAATAAAGGACTGTCCCACTCTGGGTTTGGCAGAACCCCCTTTCCTTTCCATTCAGTCCTGCCATCCACAATCAACTGGACTCCTTCAAGGCACTGAAAGGCCCTTTGGGTGCTGGCATTTGCCAACTAGCAAGACCTGCAGTTCGCCCATTCCCCACCATTCCCTCTATGGGGCAGATTCTTCATGGGGGGCCACAGCTTCCTAGAGATGTTCCATCTAAGCTGAGAGTGCAGAAAGACTACCAGCTCCTGAGTGGCCCATGGGGAGGACACTCCTCCTGGAGTTTCCTGGCCAGTGGGGAGCAAAGGAGTTGGCCTCCATCAGCTTCCCATCTCCTTAGACTCCCCTCCTGGTTGCTGCCTGTGCTTCTTCTGCCACTGTTCTGTGTTAGTGGCTCTTCCAGCTAGGATCAGGTCTCTGCTGCCCAGTTCTGCTTTTTCTCCTTGCTACCCCTGCTTCTTGTTGCCCTGGAGGCCTGAAGGGTGGGGGTAGGCTCGCAGGGGGCCTTGGCACTGAATTTCTCCCGCGTATGTGCCTGTGTGTGCGCACGTGTGTCCTTTCATGCTCCAGGTTTGACTTTGAGGGTCTGGAGAGTGGTGACGATGGTGCATTTGACAAACTCCGGTCCTGGAGCAGGTCCATCGAGGACCTGCAGCCACCCAGCGCTCTGTCGGCCCCCTTCACCAACAGCCTCGCTCGCTCTGCGCGCCAGTCTGTGCTCCGGTATGTGTGCTCTTGCTCTGCCCGCCTGCCTCCCACCCTACCTTTCAGTGCAGGTCTCAGGTTCAGCGGTGAGTGCTCATGCTCCTCCCTCCACTCTTGCTTCCAGGCTCAGCTCTCTTGCCCTCTGCCTGCCAGTCTGTCTCTGGTCTGTCCTCTCTGTCTCCTTGACTCTGCCCAGCGGTCTGTCCTGGGTAAGTACATGGTCTCAGCTGCACTCACCCCACATGGGGTTCCAGCTCTCCCCACTCCTAACCCCTCTCTGGGGGGCCCCTTCATTCCTCACTCACACTCTGCCATTCCTCCTGGGTCTCTTGAGCAGGGCACATCTCATACAGGTCCATGGCCTTCACTGGGTGATCCAGCTCCTACCCTCATTCTGTTTCCCTGTAGTTCTTCACTCTGCCCCTTCAGCTGCTTGGAGACCAGCTCCCACCCAACCTGGCTGCCCCTCGCATTCCCTTCACCTCTTCCTTCAGACCTTTTCTCTCTAAGGGTGCAACGTGCTCATCTGTCTGTCTGCGGTGTCTAAAAAGCTGTCCTGCCTGGTGGTAGGCGGATGGACTGGATGACTTCTCAGAGCCCCTTCCTACTCTGGGAGGCTTCCCTTTGGGTCCAATGGCCCTTTCCTTGGTTTCTATCTCTCCTGTGGCCATGCTTTTCTCCTAGTCTCCTTTGGGTTGTGTCCCTTGGATACTGTTGATTATTCTTGTCATGCATGAGCAGACAGTGTCTCCTCCCTTTTCCATGAAATATCACTGAGAGGGTGGAGGGGTAGTGCAAAGCCAGACATAGCCCTGTGGCCCCACTAAAGCCTTTGGGGGTCGGCTCTGCCTTTTCTGTGATACAGAAGTGGGATGGGAACCACGATGCTCTTGTCTCACAGATTGTGCAGAAGGTGCAGCAACTGGAAGTGGGTGGAGGGAATGCTCAGATGACTGTGTCTCTGGACCCATCTCAGGGACTAGGAAGGCCTACACAACTACTACTTGTATTTTGAAGGATCTCTAGGTTTGGGGCACTGGTTATAAAGCCGGGATCCTGAGTAGTTGCTGATAAAGGCCTACTTAAGCAGGTGAAAACAGGCTGGACACTCTACCTCCTGCACGCTGTCCCTCTTGGCTGTTAGTACAAGGTGCTATTCCCTATTTTTTGCCACTGCTAAGGAGCAGCCTGCTCTCTGGGTGATGGTGAGTGCCCCTAGATGCTTCACTGGCAGCCTCAGCTCCCACCTGACTGCCTGGCCCATCTCCCCAGGTATAGCACTCTCCCTGGGCGGAGGGCCCTGAAGAACTCCCGCCTAGTGAGCCAGAAGGATGACGTCCACGTCTGTATCCTTTGTCTCAGAGCCATCATGAATTATCAGGTAAGGGGGAAGCACTAGTCGTGAGTGCTCTACCTCTTCTGCCTCATCTGCAAAACCAGGAGAGCTAGGAGGGCACCAGCTTATAAAAGACAGGTTTGCTGGTGGGCCTATGGTCAAGGAGATCTGCTGGGCTCACTCTTTCCCACCATCAAGGTCTCCTCCTTCTGTCCTTTCTCTTGTAGTATGGATTCAACCTGGTCATGTCCCACCCCCATGCTGTCAATGAGATTGCACTTAGCCTCAATAACAAGAATCCAAGGTGAGTTCCTTCCCTCCCCTTTCCTCCTCACTCTGTTCAGGGCTCTGGATATCTGTATTCCATGTATTCCTGACAAGTCCTGCCTAGCCTTGGAGTCCTGTCAGAGCCTTTGTTTGGACCCCCTCACCTCTGCTGGAGGAGAAGTATCCCTGGCTCTCCTCTAGTCTATACAGCTTAGTAAAGGAGCAAGCCCGCTTTCTCCCACCCTCTCTCCTCACCACTGAGGCTTTCTCCACTCTCCAAAAGGACTTACCCAGCCAGGGAAGTGAGCTGTGTAGTTGTCAGGATGGGGAGCTAGGGTGTTAATCTTCCTTCTTCACCCCTTAGGACCAAAGCCCTTGTCTTAGAGCTTCTGGCAGCTGTGTGTTTGGTGCGAGGAGGTCACGAAATCATCCTTGCTGCCTTTGACAATTTCAAAGAGGTCAGTCTTTTGGCTTTGCGTGTGTGTGTGTGTTTGCAGGGGAGAAGGCAGGGAGCCAGGTAGGTAAGCACCATTTCCTGTGATCTGCAATGCTTTTTAACATTCCAGTGCTTGGCTAAGCAACCTCTCTCCTGAACTCCCACTGTTTTTAATACCAGAACTTTAGTCTTACTAGATCTTCGGGCCAAGAAACCTCCTGATTGGCCAGCTAAAGATACCCTCAGCTAGCTGAGGGCTATAGTCTAATGGTCCTACTTGGGCCCTGCATCCAGATCACCTAAGGAGCTTGTTAAAAGTACAGATTCCCATGCTCTAGTTCAGACCCATTAGAGGCCTGAGTATATGTACTTAAGTGACACCCCAGATGGGAATCTGATACGGTGAACCATTGATAGAACCCAAAGCACATATGTTTGAAATGGGAGGAGAAGGTAAGCAAGGATGTCTCCTAGGTTGTTGGCTGTTACTGGTGAGGAGAGAAGGAACTCCTTTGTGGCATTTGCCCCAGCTCCTGGGCCTGCCTCTGAAACCCCTATCTACTTGAACACAGGATTCTTCGACATCCAGCCACAGCTGGTGGTCCCACCCCTTCCTCTTCTTTGGACCTCTTCCCTAGCATCCATTGTTCAAGCCAGGAAATGGCTCTTCCTCCTTGAGGCCCAGAGGCTCAGAGGAGCCTCTAGACCCCTCTCAGAGAGGGCTTTCCTGTACACTGGCCCTTCCTCTGCATCCCCACTAGGACTGCAGCCTCCTGTCTTAGCCATGGCCTTCCTACCTTCCTCCTTCTTTCCCTCCTCCTTTTAGTAACTTGGCAGCATCACATCCCTGTGTTTCTTCTTGACCTATCCCCAGAGGCACTCAAAGCCCAGCTTAAGGGCACAGGCTTTACTGAATTCCCTCAGCAATTTGGTGGGGGACCATAGACCCAGAGCCAGATTGTAGGTCCCAGTTTTCTTTCTTTTTTGAGATGGAGTCTCACTCTGTGGCCAGGCTGGAGTTCAGTGGCACAATCTCAGCTCGCCGCAGCTTCCACCTCCCGGGTTCAAGCGATTCTCCTGCCTCTGCCTCCCAAGTAGCTGGGACTACAGGCATATGCCACCATGCCCGGCTAATTTTTGTATTTTTAGTAGAGATGGGGTTTCACCATGTTGCCCAGGCTGTTCTTGAACTCCTCACCTCAGGTGATCTGTCCATCTTGGCCTCGCAAAGTGCTGGGGTTATAGGCATGAGCCACCGCGCCCGGCCCCAGGTTTTCTTTTATAGTGTCCAGAATGCCCTATTTCATATATAGAGTTGTGGTTAAGCTTGGTCTGAACCAGTCCTTTGCCATGATGTTCCTGGGAGCCAGAGCATAGGGGCTTGGGTTCTGCACAGAGCAGATCCTTTCACTGAGAAAGTTTGCTCATTCAGGTATGCAAGGAGCTGCACCGCTTTGAGAAGCTGATGGAATATTTCCGGAATGAGGACAGCAACATTGACTTCATGGTGAGGAACTGGGCCTGGGTCCAGCACCAGGGCTGTGTGTTCCTTGACAACAGGGGTGAGGCCAACAGCGTATCTTGATATTCCATGTAGAGCCCAGAATGATTCTATTCAGCAAATGCTTCTTGTCCACCTGCCCACCCCAGAGAGCTCTTAGAAACTTCAGGACATCATTTGTCTATATCGGATCTATCTCCTTTTCCTCTTTTCTGTGGCCTTTTTGTCCTTGAATTGGATCCTTTTTGAGCTGCCCTCCCTTTCCTAAGCTCTTCCTCTAGCTTCTCTTCCCCTCAATGCAGGGTTTTCGGCTAGGTAAGGTTTCCTTGAGGAATACCTGCTGATGTACAAAGGAAATCAGAGAGCTATATCTTCACTTACATCTGTTTTTCATGTAATTTACTTGTCTTTATACACTGAATATTAAATGACTTTTTAAAAATTAAAATGCTCTTATTGCCCCCATAAAGGCTTAACTCTTTAATTGACTCCCTGTAATTATCCACATGATGATGATATTCTAACAGCCACCTATCTTCCTGGTCTCTTGGCTCTCATCTGCCCTTCCTGTTGCTGCTTCTCTGGGCCTCCTCTTCTTCAGGTGGCCTGCATGCAGTTCATCAACATCGTGGTGCACTCGGTGGAGGACATGAACTTCCGGGTCCACCTGCAGTATGAGTTTACCAAGCTGGGGCTAGAGGAGTTCCTGCAGGTGAGCTGGTTGGGGTCCTTGCAAGGTGAGGTTCGTTGGGATCCGTTTAGCCATATCACAAATGATTTTTCTTTTATAAGTGCCTAGTCCTTGATGCTCTTGGGACCCTGCCTGTCTTCTGTGGCCTGGGACTCAGGACCTCTGCAGATAACTCCCCAGTCAGGCCACTCCATGGGGCGAGAATCTGACATGGCCTGCAGCAGGAACTCTTTGGGAAGTGGTGGCGAAGGGGGACGAGGACTAAGTCTTTCTCAGAAAGTTCCCCTGATGATCTGCCTGCTCCTACAACTACTACTACTCTCTGCTCTTCCCCCAGAAGTCAAGGCACACGGAGAGCGAGAAGCTACAGGTGCAGATTCAGGCATATCTAGACAACGTGTTTGACGTCGGGGGTTTGTTGGAGGATGCTGAGACCAAGAATGTAGCCCTGGAGAAGGTGGAAGAGTTGGAGGAGCATGTGTCCCATGTAGGTGGTCTTTCTTTGCCTGCCAGAGCCACTGTTGATGGAAGCTCAAGTTACCAGGAATCCTAAGCTGACCCATTGCCTCCAGATTGAGTCCCAGGGAGGCTTTAGAACCCACCAGGGCTCTCAAGAGCATACTCAGGTCTGAGCCACTGGATCATCCACTAATTGGAACACACACCGACCTCCAGGGCTGGGCATGAGGTGGCATTGGTCTTGAGACAGTCAGAATGTGGCCTTTGTCTTGTATCTGTTATCCCTTGTGTTGAGGGGTTGGACTCAGGTCTTGACTAGGGTTCAGGCTGTGCTGAGTGCCCAGGCTTTAGGGCCAGCACAGAACCTGCCCTTCCTGTTGTGCAGCTCACAGAGAAGCTTCTGGACCTAGAGAATGAAAACATGATGCGGGTGGCAGAGCTAGAGAAGCAGCTGCTGCAGCGGGAGAAGGAACTAGAGAGCATCAAGGTACAAGTACTCTGGGAAGGCGGTCCCTGACTGATCCTGGGCTCCAGGGCCTTGGGGTTTTGCTTTTTTTCCCTGAGTCATATCAAGTTCTTTAGGATTTAGATCTTGATTCACCCTTGAGGTACTCAGGTCTGGGTGGGCTGATGATTTCACCCCATGTTTCTAGTTAGAGAGGAAAGCTGAAGCCAGTGTGAGCCAGACACACACATAAGAGGGTGGGAGCAGCTGGGGCACCCAGAGTATTCTGGAGTTCCAACCCAGCCTCCTTCTACCAGCCTATCCCATTGATTTTTCTCCCGTCTACCCCCATGTTCCTCCCCAAGCCATGCTTAGTGAGCACAGGCAGAGGGACCAGGTGCTCCGTGTATTAGGATGTCCACCAGGTATCCTAAATTAGCAGGGCAGGTGCTCTTCATATTTCATTCTCTCCTGTATTCTCACCTGACTTTTTGTTCATTATAGTCATGTCCCCATCCTACCTTCTCTTCCAGAAGAATATATGCTGGCTGTGTTGAGCTCAATATGTATCTGCCCAGCTTCTGCTAAGCATTGTATTGGGAGCTATGGAGAATACAGAGGTGGTTAAAACAGGGTCTTGTTTATAGGGGGCTTCCAATTGAGCCATTATACAAGGTCAAGTGAAAGTAAAGCAAAATGAGGCCCAAAGGGCTATGGAGAGAGCAGCTATTTTAGACCGGTGGTAGATTAAGGAGAGTTTCACAGGGGCAACCTTTTTCCCTGGGCTTTGAGAGGTCCATGCAGTGAGAATTGGCTGGAGCAGAGAGGACACCTGAGGGTGCCAGCAGAGGGAGGAGGCAGCTTCTGCTTGCCTCTTTTGTTTTGCTGCCTTCCAGCTTCCCCATTCCCCCACCTGGGCTTCTGCCACTCTGAGCCTCTGAGTACACTCACAGAGACCCTAGTTAAGAGAACCCTGGGTAGGAATTCTCACTCTAGGGGCAATGACTATTCCTTCAGCCCACTTTTCCCTTAATGGTGCTGTCTGCCTGTCAGGAGACATACGAGAACACAAGCCACCAGGTGCATACCCTGCGAAGGCTCATTAAAGAGAAGGAGGAGGCCTTTCAGCGTCGATGCCATTTGGAGCCAAGTGTCCGGGGCCTGGAGTCTGTGGGCAGTGAGGCCCTGGCCAGAGTAGGCCCTGCAGAGCTGAGTGAGGGCATGCCACCCTCCAACCTGGATCTTCTGGCTCCAGCCACACCCCCTGAGGAGGTCCTGCCTCTTCCTCCACCACCAGCTCCGCCCTTGCCCCCTCCACCTCCCCCATTACCAGGTAACCACCACCCCTGGGAACCAGCAGGGGCAGCCTCTTTGTGGGGACCAAAACTGTAGTCAGCAGTGTCTTCCTCAGGGAGAAACTGGGAAAATGGCATCATCTGAGGACTAGGGGGATATAAAATCCGGGTGAGGGAGGGCTGGAATCTGAGAGGAGCTCAAGTTATCAGCACAGGGATGCCCAAAAGCAGATGTAGACCTGTTTTAAGGGTCATAAAGATGTTGCTCCCAATTCCTTTGAAGACAGCCAAGGAGAGGCTTAGACTATAGCCGTAGAAACTGGGTTAGAGACCAGCAACAACTGCCCTGTCAGAGTTAGAATTTCTGGGAGCAGCTTGAGCAGAGTTCATGTAGGCTCCTTCTCTGAGAGTTGTTTTTTTTTTAAACTCTCAGAGAAGGTGGGGCAGGCAGAGGGGAGGGAAGCCTATGAAGAGTCTCTTGACCCCTGGGTCACTGTATCTTCTTTCCCCAGACAAGTGTCCCCCAGCCCCACCTCTCCCTGGTGCTGCACCCTCTGTGGTGTTGACAGTGGGCCTGTCAGGTGAGTGTCCTCAAGGCTCTGGGCAGGGCTGGTGGGACCAGAGGTGTGTGTCCTTGGCCCCTGTGTCACTGATCCTCCTTCCAAATTAGCCATTCGAATTAAGAAACCTATCAAGACCAAGTTCCGGCTGCCTGTCTTCAACTGGACAGCACTGAAACCCAACCAGATCAGTGGCACTGTCTTCAGCGAACTTGATGATGAGAAGATCTTGGAGGTAACAGGGCCTGGGGTCCAGAGGGGTAAGGTTGAGGGCTAGGGACCTGGTTGCCTTTTGAGGAGATCTGGTCTTAGAAAAGCCATCAGACAGGGTGAGGCCAGGCTCAGCTCCACGAACCCTTCATTCTTGAGTGTATATATATTTCTAGTTGTGTCAACACTTTATTTGTGTTTGTATTCAGGAAATATTCCAGAGTGACAGAGCTCTGGGCCAACGCTGGGTGGGCTGTCAGGAGGTCCTCCACTAGTATGAGGCTACAGCATTTTCCCTGCTCATCTATTCCTGCCAGGACCTGGATCTGGATAAGTTTGAAGAATTATTCAAGACGAAAGCGCAGGGCCCTGCCCTTGACCTCATCTGCTCCAAGAACAAGACAGCGCAAAAAGCTGCCAGCAAGGTGACTCTGTTGGAAGCCAATCGTGCCAAGAACCTGGCCATCACCCTACGCAAGGCTGGCCGCTCGGCTGAGGAGATCTGCAGGGCCATTCACACGTGAGGCTCCCACTGACCTGGGGTTCTCCACCCAGGAGCCTGGGTTTCCCTAGATTCCAGGTCATCTGACAGAACTCCCTCCTATCCCCCTAATCATCCACTGGCTTGGCTTGGCCAGAATTTACTGCATCTGTGCTGGCAGTTCAGCCCAGACCTTCACCCAAGGAGCTCTCAGTCTATTGGGAACAGTGCAGTAACACTGAGTGATACCACCAAGATGGTAGAAGTATACAGGCAGCTTTGGGAGAATATGGAGGTTCATGTAGCTGAGCTTGGTGATGAATGAGGGAAGCCTTCCCACAGGAGGTAATGTCTCAACTGGGACCTGAAGAAAAGATAGGAGTTAGTCCAGTTCAGGGCCTGGAGGGAGAAGCATAGTGCCTTGGGTACTAAAAATGGAATCTGGCTTTAGTGTAGGGAGAGGAGCAGGAGAAGGTAGAGAGTCAGTCAGAAGTCTTGCAGGCTGGGCCTCATAAGCCATGCTCAGGTGTTTGGACTTCACCCTAGGTACAGAGGGAGTACATTAAAGGGCTTATTAAACAGGAGCATGGAATGTTCCCCTAGGATCATTGCTGGTGCTGTGACAGATGAGGCAATGGGTCCTTTGCCTTTGGCTGTGTTCTGTGTACAGTCCCCTGTCCAGTCCTTCTAGGAGCTTGGAAAATAAAAGGGATGAGGGAAAACGTGGAGAGATGGGAGAACTGACGTGGTCCCTTCCTCCTCCACAGGTTTGACTTGCAGACACTACCTGTGGACTTCGTGGAGTGCCTGATGCGCTTCCTGCCCACAGAGGCTGAGGTAAAGCTGCTGCGGCAATATGAGCGTGAGCGGCAGCCCCTGGAGGAGTTGGCGGCTGAGGATCGCTTCATGCTGCTCTTCAGCAAGGTGGAACGGCTGACCCAGCGAATGGCTGGCATGGCCTTCCTGGGGAATTTCCAGGATAACCTGCAGATGCTCACACCGGTACAGCCCCCACCCAACTCATGGTCCTGGACAGCTGTCCCTCCACCCTCCATCTGCTAGTCACCTCCCCTGCCCTTCCAGTCCTTCTGACCCCTCCCTGTCTTTACCGCATCTCAGCCTGGGGTTACTTCAGTGTTCATATTGTCCTACAGCAACTCAATGCCATCATTGCGGCGTCCGCTTCCGTCAAGTCTTCACAGAAGCTGAAGCAGATGTTGGAGGTGGGAAGAGGTTGTGAACAGGGGTGCTTGGGGTTCTCGGGTCCTAGGTGGGAGCCTGGGGCTATACAGAGAGGAAGAAGGAGCCCTCAGGACCTGAGCCTGACCTGCCTCCCATGCATTCTTTGGACAGATCATACTTGCACTGGGGAACTACATGAACAGCAGCAAGCGGGGAGCTGTGTATGGCTTCAAGCTCCAGAGCCTGGATCTGGTAAGATGGTGAGGGCCAGGAAGCCTGGGGGGCAGCAGTTGTGGAGCCAGTGTGCTTAGCTTTTATGCACTGCCCTGACCCCCTCTCCTAGCTGTTGGATACCAAGTCCACTGACCGGAAGATGACACTGCTTCATTTCATCGCCTTGACAGTGAAGGAGAAATACCCAGACCTGGCTAACTTCTGGCATGAGCTGCACTTTGTTGAGAAGGCTGCAGCAGGTGAGGAGAGCCTGGCTGGGTGGGCCTGCCCTCACATCCAGCCCAGGACAATCCCAGGAAGCTATGAGGAGAGGGAACACTTGGGTCCATTTGTTTCTGGCTTTTGTTATCTTCTTTTTGACCACTTCAAAGCTTTCCGCTGGAGCCTTAAGCAGGGGCCACTCCAGAGGGAGCCTTCCTCCAGGCGCCAGGCCTGGCCCATCCCAGCTCTTCCCAGCTAGGTACAGTGGGAGCAGGAACAGGAAGGGGAGCAGTGACTCTTTACTCCCAACTCCCTCAAGCTGGCCCCAGAGATCTTGCATTTGTGTATGATGTATGTGATGTGCTTAGAAAAAATCATAAAGCCCTCTATAGACATGAGGTAGCTGTTATTTCTGCCCCACCCATGAACACTAGGGCAGGCCTGAGGCAGTTTCATTGTGGAGACCAGCAGTCTCTGTGGCTTGCCTGCTTTTGTTTGCTACTGTGTTCTTTGGGGTCACAAGCTCAGTTTCCATTCCATTCCCTCCCCCTGTGAGGGATCAGCTAGCTTGGTGTGTACTTCCTTATGTCCACACAGATATGTGAACCTGAATGAGCCCATGCTGAGGGGGAGGGCCAGAGTCTGATATAGCTCTAGGCTGGGAGGTGGGTGTGCCAGGCCCTAGGCATCCTCAGCCAGGCTTTTGGTGACCAGTGTCCCTGGAGAACGTGCTGCTGGACGTGAAGGAGCTGGGCCGGGGCATGGAGCTGATTCGGCGTGAGTGCAGCATCCATGACAACAGTGTCCTCCGGAACTTCCTCAGTACCAATGAAGGCAAACTAGACAAGCTCCAGCGGGATGCCAAGACGGCTGAGGCAAGCACAGGGTACAGGCGGGTGGGAGCAACCAGGGCCAAGGCTCCAGGCCCCTCTAGGTGGCCCTAGTTCTATTTTTTCTTTTAAATCAAGCAGCTGGCTGTCTATATGTAGGGGGGAGAGCGCGCTTTGGGAGTGGCAGGCAGCTGCCTCTGGAGACTGGTTATTGGGAGCTTTGGGAGCCCCAGGTTCTCTCCAGCTCACAGGGGCCTGGGTGGTTGGTTTTCCTCCCTTTGGCCCTGGGCTCTGCTTTCCGCAGGCCACTCGTCCACGGTGTGGGAGCTGGGCTGCCCCTTCCCGCCAGTGACCCGTTCTGCCCACCCCTTCCCCAGGAGGCCTACAATGCAGTTGTGCGCTACTTTGGTGAGAGTCCCAAGACTACACCTCCTTCTGTATTCTTCCCAGTATTTGTCCGATTCATTCGTTCTTACAAGGTAAGCTGCAGATAGCTTTTAAAGAAGTTTGGTTGAGAGAAAACTGGCTGAAGGAGAGAAGCCTGGGTTTAAAGTATGGGCCTTTTCCGACTCCTCCTTTGAGTCCTGGGAAGGGAGCGATGCAAGCTGGCGAAAGGCCTCTTAGCTGTGAACTGGTGGGCAGGGTGGGGCCCAGGACCTTCCTGTCATTGTTTGGGGCAGGAAGTGCCCCTCCAGAGGGTGGCCACCTGGAGTTAGCGGGTCTCACTGCCACCCACTCTCCACCTCAGTGTGAGCCCCTCCCCTCACAGCCTGTGAGCCTCACCCCCAGCCCCCACCCATCTTCCATGGCTCTTAGGAAGCAGAACAAGAGAATGAAGCCCGCAAGAAGCAGGAGGAGGTAATGCGGGAGAAGCAGCTGGCTCAGGAAGCCAAGAAACTGGATGCCAAGGTGGGTGGGACCAAGAGCTGGGGCCTGGAAGACGACAAGGCAAAAGAGTGGGGGCTGGGGGTCAGAAGGCTAGGGGAGATGAAAACTTGGAGTGGACAGACCACCCAGAGGGCTGGCATCCAGAGGGATGGAGGGAGGGCCTTTGGGGATTCCTAGCAGTGCACAAGCAGTGGCATCCTCAGGCTGCATCTTGGGGCAGGAACCAGTCCCACATTAGGTCAGTGATGACTTCCTTCCCCCTCCACATTCTTGGCCCTAGACCCCATCCCAGCGGAACAAGTGGCAACAGCAGGAGTTAATAGCAGAGTTGAGGCGGCGCCAGGCCAAGGAACACCGGCCTGTTTATGAGGGGAAGGATGGTACCATCGAGGACATCATCACAGGTGGGGCCCTTTTTCACTCCCTGGGGCCTGGCCATTGCACCCAGCTCCCAAAGCTCAACCTAACTCCTTTGGGCTCTCCTCCCATCCCACACCCCATGAGGCCTGACCACTGTGTCTCTCTCCTGGGCCACAGTGCTGAAGAGTGTCCCTTTCACGGCCCGTACTGCCAAGCGGGGCTCACGCTTCTTCTGTGATGCAGCCCACCATGATGAGTCAAACTGTTAGCCCCCAAGGCTGGGGCCCGACAGGTACTGGGCACCGCAGCTGCCCCCTGTGCATGCCCATCTCCCAAGATTCCTGCTGGAGACCACAGGCACCTCCTTTCCTGCATGATTTGCAATCACCCTCTGGCAGCCTCCCAGCGATGGGGACACATACTTCTTGCATGCCCCATGCTCTGAGAAGTGTGGCATATCCCCTGCATGTGTCCTTAGGGAAGTGGTCTCTCCCACTAATGCTGTCCTGGCTTCTACTAAGACCCAGTGGGTAGGGAGTCGCCAGGTCAGTGTTGAGGACAGGCCAGAGCAGGCAGGACCAGGCCTACAGTTCTGATCTTTGAGGCTGAGGTTGAGGGTCCATTCCCAGGCCTAAGGAACCTTTCCCTAGGGTTCGGTTCTCTTATAAGAGCTCTGGTAGTAGCTTCTGACCAGGAGGTATCAGATGTCCCTTGATCTGTTTCCTGATGTCCAGTCAGCCTGGAGTCTTTTCCTTCTGGCTCTTTCTGAATGCATCTACCTTGTCTCTGTCCACTGCCCAGTGGCCTCTAGTCACCCCCAACCTGATCCACTGAAATGCAAAGCCCAGCAATCTCCCCAGCTGGGTACCCCTCAAGCCTCTAAGCCTCCTGTTTATCTGCCTCACCGCTGGCTCCTCCCTGGCCCTACCTGTGGGGCTGCTCTTGAGGGCACTGTCCTGGCTCAGCCTACCATCCTGTTCACAGGTCTCTGTCTTCCCCTACAGGCCTCCACTGCCAGCCTATGGTTGTTCGCCACCAAGCCAGGAGTGCTGCGCCACCCAGTGGTCCCCCTCGGGCTCCAGGCCCCCACTGAGACCCTCTTGGAGGCAGAAGCACTTCAACCCTCAGAGTCCTACAAGTCCAACCAGTGGACCTGGAATTGGCCAAGGGCCCAGGAGAGGGCTGTGTTGCTCTCAACTATATCCACCCCAGCTCTTAAGGCTGGATCTTTCTACTTGTGCCACTATGGGCACTAGGTCTGTAGGTCCCTGGTGCCTCCAGTACTGCACTTTGCCCCCAAGGTCTTTGACTTCGTTTCCTGAAGGGTCACCAAGGGTCAGCTCAAGGCTGGGAAAAACCATTTCCAGCTTTAGCCTAAACAGGGCATGTAGATCTCTCTCCCACTAGAGCCCCGAGGGATGAGAGGAGAGAGCAACTGTCCTTTCTTTTTTTTTCCCTTCCTTTTTGCAGGCCCATGGTCAGCTCTGGTCTAGACGTATCTAGGCTTAGGGAGCCCTGGGACCCTGCCAGTCTCAGTTCATCTCTTACCAGGAGCAAGGCCCTCTGAAGCATGGGCCGTGCCAGCTGTGCCCTAGTGATAAGGGTAAGAGGAAAGATGTCAGACTCACTGCCCTTATTTCTCTGCCCATTTCATTCTAGGCTCACACTGTCCTTGTCAAGGTGGGCAGAAAAGCAGAGGTTTTCTCTGCACCAACCCCTCTCTGCAGATGGCTGGAGAAAGGGTGGGCCAACTCTTCACCTTCTTTCCTCAGCTACGTTTTTTTGTTTGTTTGTTTTTTGGCAGGGGACAAGGAGCATGGTGGTCTTGGCTGACTATTTGCTCACCTTCCTGTTTCTCCTCTGCCCCTGGAAGGGAATGTGGGGGCTCACTTTTTTGTACATGTACCACCTCCTTTTCCTCTTGTACATAAACCTCAGACTCTCCCTCTCTCAACAAAGGCTTGATGCACCAGGCCTGACTTTGTCTCCTGTTTCTGAGCTTAGGGGTTTAGGGTGTCCACTTAGCCCGACCTGGGCCATGGGGACAGAAAAGAAATCTTTGGGGCACTGCATCTTTTTCGGAGATGAGATCAGAACTCTGGGGAAAGGAGAACTGGCTGGGTGGGCTCTAGCCACACGAAGGGAAGCAGGCCTGCTGTGAGACACTAGTGCCCTCTGCTGGGCATGTGTCCAGTCCCCAGCCTGCCCCAGTAGCACATGGAAAAGAGTCACTGGCCATGTTATAAATATTGTTATTTAAAAAACAAAAACAAAACACACGTACATTAGGTCCTGGGTGGAGGAAGAAGTGGTGGAGCCTCAGGACCAGGGCAGGCAGGAGCAGGCACTGATGCTAGAGGGTGACGACCCTGCCCTCTGCCACCCAGGCTGTGTCCACCAACCTGTCACTCTTCCCTGGAGACCCCTTCTCTCACACTTTTATCTATTGGCATCACCCACCCCACATGGCACATACCACCCATCTCTGGTCTGGGGCTGAGGGCAAGGACTGCACTAGTCCAGGGAGTAGGGGAACCTTGAACACCAACAGCAACCTTGAGAGGTGCCAACAATGGTGTGCTGGGGGTGGGGTTACTTTAGAAAAAGTGGACACAGACCAGACTAAGGAAGAAGTCTGAGGCAGATGGTGAGGGTGGCCCAGGAGCCACGGCCTCACACAGACCCGAGGCAGAGAACAGCTCATCGGGTCACTGGTGATCGTCCAGCTGCTGTAGGAGTGTCCGCCGCCGCCTCTCCAGCTCACCCTCACTCAGCTCACTTTCTGACGTGTCCCAGCCTGTCTGTTGGAGCAAAGGCACAGCTCACCCTTAGCCGGCACTGAGGGCCGTGGAGGCTTGACCAGCGTGCTGACTGGCCTAGGGCCCCTGCCCCTCACCTTCTCCTTCTTGATTCCAAAGCCTGGGGAACGGTTAGGGAGCTCTGCCTGCCGGAGCTCCCTGTCCTTGTCCTGTTCTTGTTCTTTCTCATCGCTCTCCTTGCCAGCTTTCTCCTCAGGGTCTGTCTCACTCTCAGGACTGTTCTGTAAGAGTCCAGAGCCCACCTCCTCAGTTCCTGTGGATAGTCTGGGAGTCAGGTAGAACAGAGCTCACAAAATAGCAGGGGCTTAGGTAGAAGTTCCTTCACTCACCGACTTGTGTCTTCTCTTCTTAGTTTTCTTTTTTGGTTTCTTGGCTTTCCGAAGGCCATGATCTGGAGATAGAAAAATCCCTACTAAGTCCCAACAGGAGAAAGGAAGGCTCTTCTTTTTCTTTGTTCTAGCCCCTGTGTTCATTCTTCACAGGCAGGAACCTCATGCTCTGAGGAATTTCAAGTCCGGTTTTCCTTCTCCAGCTTCTTGCCTGGACAGGTAGAGGAAGTTCTTTCTACTCCCACAGGTGCAGCCCTCCCAATCCAGTCTACCCTCAAAGGAGCTGGGGCTTGCGGAGGGCATCCTCTCAGTCTGGGACAACAGTTCTCCAGCTTCTAGGCTCATAGCAACTGCTTACCTGCTCCAAGAAGATGGGAGGAAGGGGAGCCCCGTCCTCCAAGGGCAGCACCCCCACTTTCAACTGAATCAAGTGAGGAAGAGGGCTCAGAGCCTGACTCTGAGGGGTTCCGCCGCCTCCGCTTGGGGGGCCGGAGAGATGGTGGGGGCAGCTCCTCTTCTTCTGACTCAGAGCCCTGGGCAGATCAGCAGATACGTATCAGTACAGAGGTTATCTGCCCTCCAGAAGCCCTCATCTGGGAATTCGAGAGAGGAGGAGGATCCAGGGCCAAAGGAATCCTCAAATTTCCCTCCAATGGAGATAATGTAAGGGGAAACCAAAAGTGTTTATTTCCCCAAAACAACCCAGCTTCCCCCACGTCCCTTCTACCCGCTTACTCACTGAGGGTGAGTGGGAACGCTTGCGATGGTGCTTCTTGCCTTTCCTGCCATGCTTTCGGCCTTTGGTGTGGAGGTGCTGGCATTCAGTCTGCTAGAGGCAGAGGAAGAAGGGTGAGGACGGCACCAGACCTAGCCCCAGGAAGGACTCTACCTCCTAAAATCTGGCTTTGCCTCCCTTTCTCAGGCTAGAGCCTTCTGCCTATCCCAGGGATCCTTCAGGCCTCCCCTTCCTTAGCTGGCCAGGAGTGCCCTAAGGGTAAGAGGGAGGCCACTGAGGTCTCTGTTGAACTGGTCTAAGGAGTTCAAGGGCCTGGGGCAGATCCAGAGGACAAGCCTGCCTCACCTCCAGCACCTGTAGGAACTCCCGGAAGAGCCGGATCCGCTCCGACTCCAGGGTAATCTGCTCAAAGGCTGAGTCACACACAAAACGCTCACGGACCTTGAACGAGGAGAGCACTGCTGATCAGACTAGGCCCCACTCAGCCTGGCCTGGACACCGCCATGAGCACAGGGCAGGGCTGGGGCAGAGAAAGGAAGGGAACTGGAGCTGGCCCAGGGCTGTGACGTGACTGGGGTGGGCCCTCAGTGGTGAAGCACCGCTGCCCTCAGGCTTGAGGGGTGTTTGGGGCCAGGCTACGCTCCTGACCTCTTCCCAGGCAGTGCCTAGCTCCAGAGCAGGCACAGCCTGCCTCAGCATGCTTCGAAAGGCAGCTTCCCTGCGCCGCATCCTGCGTGCCTCCTCCTTCTCCCGCTCCCTCTCCCGTGCCTCTGCTTTCTCCAGCAGCTGAGAAAAGAAGGGACATGGAACAGGGTCACCCAGGAGGGTGGATGCCGGGTCCCACTCAGGCATACCTTAGGAGGTGGAAAGTTAGGGTCTGGGCTTCTACCACCATCCCCTGAATTGGGAATATAGTCGGACAGTGAGTGAGAAGGAATGGAACAAGGCACTGGGATGAATTACAGAACTGAGCCCCATGCCCTGCCCAGCCCCTCACACTATTGAAGGTCAGCTTGATGTTGCCTGCGTCCAGTGCGGCAGCCCTCTTGTCAAAGCTTATGACGTGGGCGAAGTCCTCAAAGGCCGTGTTCACCTCCACACAGAAGCCCCGGTCCTGTGGGCACAGCAATACATGAAGCAGGGGTACCACGTGCCTTGAGGCCAAAGCTGGCAGGCAGAGTGGTCACACTACAGATGGTCAAGAAGGCCCTTGCCTCCAGAAGAGATCCACAGGACTGTGATATGCATTAGAAACCAAGTTATCCAAGTCCTCATCACTTGACAATTAAGCCCCCATGCCTAGCCTTGGTTTGGATGTCACACGGAGCTGAAGGGGTTGGGAGATGTCTCCCAACTGCTGATTAATGCATGAGTTTCTCAAAATTAACTTTTGTTCCTTTGGCTGAAAGCTCTGGCCCCAGCTGGGCCCTCCTGCTGCTCAGTAGAGCTTCCATGCATTCTCAATCAACATTTGCTGACCCCTACCCTTTGGCTCTACTTATTGAGTGCTTACTATGTACCAGGTACCACGATGAGTGTTTCACACATTATCTCATTTAATCCTCTTGGTTCTACATTTAAGAATAGGTCCTAGTATCCTAATTTTACACAGAAGGAGAAACCAAGCACTTGCCCAAGGTCTCACAGCTGATGTATGGCTAGGCAAGAACCCTACCCTGGGTCTCTCTATCCCCAAAGTCTGTGCTTTCAAGCACCACACCAACCCAGGTAACTTAGTCCATGGGAGAAATGGAGGCCACGAAGTGTGCAGCTCCCCACCAATACTAAAAATATCTCCACAGACCAGGCTCTGTGCTTCTCATTTAGGCCTCACAACATTCCAGTGAAGCAGAGGCTTAGAAAAGTGATCTCAGTTGACCCAAGATGACATGAGTGGTAAAGGAAGCCACTAAAGTTTAAAGTCTGGCTCTCACGTCAGTTAAGCACAGGCCAGATTCCCTTCCTCTCCCTCCACATAGCTCTCACCTCCCCTGGCCTTTCTGCTGATGGCAGAGGTGTGTTCCTCGCATTGCTTCTTTCCAAGGGTACTTCCTCAACCCTGCCCCAGTCCTTATCAACACAGCATTCATTCTCAGGGAATTGAAAGCTCCAAGTCACCCTCGTCACTGGCTCCTTCCATCAAGGAGACACCTCACCTAACCTGGAACATCCTTTCCACCATGCTGTCCCCTTCATCAAGCTAACTACCTCTGCTGTTTTCCTTTGTTTCAAAACCTCTTGAAATGCAGCAGAAAGGAAAAGGAATAAACATTTATTGAGAACCTATTAGATACTTTACAAATGTTATTTAATTCTCACAACCTTACCTATGAATTATCCGATTTACAGGTGAGCAAACAGGCTCAGAGACATGGAACTTACGGAGATCTCAGAGCCAATAAGCAACCAGGAGTTATCTGACTCTAAAACGTGTGGTCCCCATGCCGCCTCCATGACACTACTCTCCCAAAGGTTGCTTGCGTCTGCTAGCCAAATCCAAGGCCTCCTTCTTGCTCCTCACTCATCTGGTCCTCAGTGCCTCTACCAATTACTTCTTCAACACTCCCCTCTCCAGGTCGACTCCTCTCTCACCTCTTATTACTTCTCTTGCATATGCATGTTCCTGAGAATAGCACTTAGTCCTCTTTCACTACCCAATTTGTACTCCCTAGCAATCTCATCCTTCATCTCTCCTGATTTTCAAACTCATCCTAGACTGGATATTTCAGACACTTCAAATTCAACAGATCTCAAGAGAATATATTTCTCATGAGCACCCTCCATGGATCTCCCTGACCCAGATCTGTCTGCGTGTTCTAAGTCCAGGGCTCTTTGCATTATCCTATGGGATGAGAGGCACCATTATGGTCTGCCTGGCTGTGGAAAGCAAGAGGGACTCGGCTCATCTGCCCTCCATAGGCAGGAACCCAAATGGGGAAAGAGGAAGGGAACTGTCTAAAAAAGCTGCTTTCTCAGGTGGTGTGGAGACACAGGACTCAGGATAGGCCCCTACAGGCCTATCAATCAGCCACTCTGGCTAAAAGTTAATTGTCCAATAAAATTTAGCTATCCCAGGATAAGGCATTTCTACTTTATATGATTATTTTGTTTTAAAATATGATATTTGCTTTGAGAGTAATTCCCCAAATAGAATTCCTATTTTCTACAGCCTTGCTCTTCTTGTTTTATCCTTATCAGTGGTGCCATCATCCACTTCCCTGACACCTCTGATTCCTTCTTTTCCCTCCATTTCACAAAATCTGTCAGTTCTACTTAGTAACTCCATCCCACTGGTTTTAAATTCTCCCCCTCTTTTTTTTTTTAAACAGCAGAAACAGTTTATTAACATAGAAATCTTATGTAGAACCTCTATGCATAAAAAAGATTCAAGCTGCTTCACTTGAAAACAGGAAGCAGCACAAAATCCCCCCATACTCAACCCCAACCCTTGCTTGTCTCAAGGCACCTATACAGAAACCCAGAGTGTCTCAGAAGCACAGCTGGAGTGCTATAGCCTGCTCTTTTCTTCTGCTGTCCCCACTGCCCTGGCTAGGATCACCTCCTACCGAGAGTCCTGCACAGCCTACTGACTTTTCTCCCTACTGACCCCCTTCCATCCCTCTAACCCAGCTCCTAGCAGCTAGTGCTTCTTGGACTTTTGTACCAAGTAGCCCCAACAGTAGGAGAGAGGTCTGGGGATAAGTGAGAAGAATATGACTATTTGAATTACCACTATCAGTTTTAGTATTTTGAGGCTTCAAGAACTGCTCTACCTACCACCACAACCTTCCCTAAGGACATAAGGACATACTCTAGACTGAAAGGTTCTACTATACACCATCTAATCTGATCATTCCCTGGTTCCTTATTACGAGAGAAAAATCCAAATTTCTTATTTTGGCATTCAAGGCACTTTACATGCAGGGCTCTACTTCCAAACTGGGGCATATGGTTCCAGAGAAAGAGGATACCTCAGGACAGTATGATATATCTTACCTAATGGTAAGTAATTTAAAATATTAAATTTATATTAAATAGAGAGGTAATATGGTGTCAAAATGCAACACCTACGTGAATTTGTAAGGCAAAACAATACTTCAAAGAAATAGATGTGCAGTGAGACATTTCTAGCTTTATTTCCAGATCCCTTTCAACCCAGGTACCATTTAATCTCTGTAATTAGGTGTACTCTGGTAGAACACTCACCATTTTTTAGATGAGGAAACAGGGTCAGAAAGGTCAAGTGACCTGTGCAAGGTCACACAACTAGCAAGCAGTTAAGCTAGACTTTTACTGTAGACAGTCTGCCTCCAGTCCTGCTCCTAACCACTGTACTGTATTATCTCCTCAAATGCATTAGAATCTTCACTTCCATAAAGAAATATGCTTTCTCTTTGTTTTTTCTTTTGGAACACAAGTTTAGTCCATCACTCACTCACTTTTCCACTTTTGATAAGATGTAAATATTGAGAACTATTTCTCTTCTCCAGTAGAAGAAAAGCAACAGGCCATGAATGATGGTAAATGGCAGCTGACACTTATGACAGTATCAAGAAGGCACTAAGGAATGGTGAGAAGGATGACTTGCCCTTTCTAAAGTGGCATCTCAGCTTGAGTCTGCAGAATGCCTTGCAAATCCAGCTCAATGCTGCTAGATAATCCATACTGACAAGAGAAGCTAAAGATTCAGATTTTTTATGTGACGTTTCCTGGTTTTAAAATGTTATCAACAAATTCCAAATTTTTTAAAAAACACTGTACAGGCCAGAACAATCTGTGTGCTACCAGTTTACAATTAGCTATGCTTCTTCCTCCTCAGACCTGGCATGCCCTTTCCACCCCCTTGCCTTTGCTCTTAGGACCCTGGGTACACTCCAACCTCTTCCACCTACTGATTTCTAAATGTGCAGTTCAAATGTTAGTTCTTCAGATTCCTGTCTCTGTAGTAACACTTGCCCCTTTGTATAAGAGTTCTCATGTATATCTTCCTATTAGACCATGAACTCCTGTGGGTAGAAATTGTGTATTCATTACTGTATCCCTAGTGCACAGTAAAGGATCACAGTAGGTATCTGCTGAACCAAGCTGTAATGCTCCTGCAAAACAGGACTTAATCAGGGAGTCCTCTGCAGGGAGTGTGCCCTGCGTCCATCCTGTATCCATCCATAACCCCAGCCTCCCTCACCTTAAGGATGTCCTTAATGATCTTCTTTTCATCATGGAATCGTGCCTTCAACTCCTCCACATAGAACTTGAACAAGTCCAGAGGCGTGGAGCCTGCAAGGAGGGAGGGAGGGGGGCCTGGCGGGCGGCAGCTTCCCAAGGCCTGGGGGCTGCGCCGAGGACAGGACCAGGGAGTAGGGGGTACAGAGAGGCTGGCAGGGCAGGAAGCCAGGCCAGAGAAGGGGGAGCCTGGCTGCCTAGCCTGGCTGCCTTACCCGGCTGGCCCAGCATGTTGGCAAAACGGACATCAGTGCTGACTGCTGGATATAGCTCCATCCAGGTGGACATAGAGTGCAGCTGCCCTGTCTCATGCAGCTCATCCAGGAAGGTCTGAGCAGGGAGAGGCCAGTTATAGGGAGAGTGAGACAAGGAGGGAGGCAGAGCCACAGAATGAGGGGGAAGAGAGGGAATGGCAGAGGAAGAGGCAGGGACAATCAAGATTGAGGAGATGCAGGAAAGAGAGGCAGAGATGAAGAGATGCAGATGGAAGGCTGAGAACAATGCAAAAGGAGAGAATGTAAATACACAGAGAGGGACAGAACAAAAATGTGAGAACAAGCCATTCCCGGGAGGCAAAGAAACAGAAACCTGCCTGCAGTAACCCGTAGCACTACCACCCCCACTACCACCCGCAAGGTGGGGGAATAAACTCTGCCTGTCTGGCGCCCCACCAAGGGAAATAAACATGGCCTAGCTGCCAAGTCGTGCCTGTAGGGTGCTCTCTGCTGGCAGTTTCTGGGTGGTGCATACATCTAGTCTCCCTAGAAGAGCACAGTCCAGAATTGAGGGGGTACAGCAGAAACAGACTGCAGGCAGAGAGAGGTCTCATGGAGCTTGGACAGGCTAGGCACATAAAGAACAGGCAGCCTATCCAGAAAGGGGCAGGGAATGGGTGAAGAGGTGCTCTAGGGCAGAGCCGAGCTCTGATCTAGAAAGGATGGCAAAGATACCTGGAAGGCCTCCCGATTCTTGCGTTGTTGGCGTCGCTCCCGAAGCCGGGCCCGCTCCCGTTCCTCCTCCTCTTCCCTCTCCAAAGCTCGAATGTGCTCCTCAAAACAGATCAGTGCATCTTCCTTGTCCATGTCTAAAGACAGGCAGGAGGTTCAGCGGGCACTGTACCAGGAGGACACCCTCTCAGACCCCAGCACCCCTAATGTTTCAACGATGCTGTCCTACAGGTGCTAGGGATACCCAGGGTGGTGGGGGAAGGGCCTGGAGAGGGCTCTGTGGGAGCAGCCACTGGAATGGTGGTTCTTAAGAGGGAATCATTAATTGTATAAGAATAAATGAGCAAGTATTCAGCTCTTGTGAATTCAGTTATTAGAAGCCATAACATGAAACCAGTTGTCTTGGGATCTGACGTTTCACATCTTAGGGAACTGGGAATCAATCAGGCTTTGATGCAATTTTAGAAAGTGAATTTCAGTATCATCAGTGACTACAGGCCAACAACAGTCTATTGTAACATGTGACCACTTGAGGCCTGTAGTGCTATGATGCTTTAAGACCATATTCACATGAGCTAAAACCATCATCACTGACATCTCTAGGACTTAAGATTCCTATCCTAGAGCTCCTCCTCCAAGGACACACAATGTCTAGCCCAACAGTGGACCCCAGAGGCAGGGGTGTCCTGAAACATTCTGGTATCCCCAGAGTCCAGAGAAGTACAAGGACTGGGTGAGTGTTGAGTACTCCTAGGGTGTCCGGGAGGGCAGGAGGTACAGGTGAGTGGGGTGAGGCAGACTCTGGGGTCCCAGGTCCAGTAAGGGAAAGGGATAGCTGGGATTGGAGGCCCAGGCTTACTCTGCAGCTGATGGTCCTGAGCAAAGCTGGGGTTATCCATGAGGTACTGCTGGGCCTGGGACCACGTGGTTTGGAAGTTGACACTACTCATCCCATCCAGAATGCTCTTTAGGGCCTGGATATTGCGGCGCCGGAGTTGCTTGGCCTGTTCCTGGGGAGCCACAGGATCAGGGTGAGGCAGGGCAGGCCAGAGCTACCCAAGTAGGCCTGGGCAGAGGAGGACCTGGGGAAAGGTAGCTAGGGAACCCTAGGAAGGAGGCCATACTCAAGACTTTCATGTCTCAGGGAAGGGGAGGGAGTACAGGTTACAGACCCATCTCTCAGAGACTTCTCCTCACTACACCCAGGACTATAGGCCCAGAGCAGAAATGGGATGTGCAAGTCCCATGCCAGCTTCCAAGTCAGAAGCTGGGACACTGGGGAAGTGGAGAAGTAAATGGCTAGGGTCCATAACAAAGCAAAGACAAGGAAAGTCCAGGATAAGATGGGCTGATGGATCCTGCCCAGCGACCATTACCTTCTCCTTCTTGGCCAGGAAGAAGAGGACATCATCATAAACCTCTTTTCGATCCCTCTCAGGGACCACAGCCCAGACCTCCAGGTCTCCAAAGGTCTGTTCTGCCCGCCTGTAGAGCATATGAGCTGTGAGTAGGTAGACAGAGAACAGAGACCCTGGACCTCTGTGTTCTCAGGGTTCCCAAGCCCCCAGTCCAGCCTGGCCCCCTGACCGGTAGCGGGTGGTGGAGGTCATGCGTTCATGCTGCTCCAGGAAATGCTGCAGGGTCTGCTTGGCCTCCTTGGCCCTTAGACGGGCCTCCTCCTTCTCCTCCTTCTCCCGCTGCGCCTTGTAGGCATTGAATGCCTGCTTTTTCTCACTCAGTTTGGGCAAGGCACTGGGATAAAGGGTAGGAGTGGGATGGGGATAGAGAAGTCACCCTGAACCACCCTGCACAGCCCACACTGGAGGGTCATGAGACACTACAGGGTGCAGCGGCTTCAAGGGCACAGATGTCTGGGATCTGAACACCATTCATGGAGAAGTAGGGGTGACAGGAAGTGAGGGGAAGAGATACAGCTCCAAGACACTGCAAATACTGGGCCCTTTTGCTTTGGGGTTCTCAAGTCACCCTATCCAGCACCCTCATTCCCCAATTAATTCAATTCAGTTTGATTCAATCCAATAAGCATTTATTGAATGTGTTGTGTCAGATACCTTTCCTTTCCTTCTCCTGGAGGCCCTCCAGCTTTTCTTCCCCTTGCTCCCCAGCCCAATCTATCATTGTCCTGACTCTGGTTCCCTTAGGGCTGAGTGTTGAGCTGGGGTTTCTTAGGAAGTCCCTAGCATAGCAGCTCTCATGAACAGGGCCTGGCTCCCTCTGCCCAGGCCTACCTGTAACGGGGGTCGGTGACCACCATCTTCATGGCCTGTTCCCATGAGGCGTTGGAGGGGACAGCCTGGAATGAAGCAGGTGGGAGTCATGGGGCCTGCCCTGCTCCAGCCCCCTCCAAACCTTCCCTGGGAGCCCCACTCCAGCACCTTGTCCCTCAGCAGTTCCTTGAATGCCTGCTTTGCCTTCTCCCGGTTGCTCCAACTGAGGCCAGACCTCTCTGGTTCTGGCTTTGATTCTTCCTCCTCCTGCTGTGGCTGATGCTGTCCAGAACTGGAGGGCACAGGGGACTCAGCCACAGGGTCCCCCAGCCCTCACAGCTTTCAGTGCCCTGAACTCTTGGCAACCTATCATCTCCTCCTTGTTCCTCAGGGCAGCCTTTTTCTGCCCTTCAGAGGTCACACCCAGATCTTCAAACCCCTCCTGAGAGAGAGGCCCAGCAGAGGACAAGGGTTGAACCAGGCTGGGAGTCTGAGGCCAACATCGGGAATGCCATGGGGGGCAGCCCTCACCTGCTGGGGCCCTCCTCCAGCTGCTGCAGGAACCCCTGTTCCAGGGGCTGGGTGGCCTCCGACACATCACAATCTTCACTCCCACCTGGCTCAGGTTCCAGGAGGCCTGTGGGCACTGGGGTGGGGCCAGGAGGTGCAGGTGGGGGGTCAGGCTGTGGCTGAGGCGGCTGTGGCTGAAGTGTATGTGGCAGCTGCTGCTGCTGTTTCCTGCAGATGAGCCAGAAGGGCAGTGTCCAGGAGGAGAGCAGGAATGGAGGAGTTCAGGGGCTGGCTGGTCTCTCTATCCTGGGAAAGACTGGGGCCAGAGGGGATGACTCCACAAGGAGACAAAACTGGCTCTTCCTCCCACAGTGTAGAAATCATATCTAGAGAGTCTATTCCCACACTCCAGGTGCCCCAACTATAAATGGATAGTTGGGCAAGTCACTCACCCTGCAGCCTCTTGTTTGACTAGAACTGCGATGGGAAAAGATAACACAGTCAGTCACAGGGGCAACAGAGAACCTCCAGAACTCCTGACCCGGCCCACTCGTAGGACGTCTCACCCTCTAGGTCATCCAGATCCTTGGGCCGGGTCCAGCGAGACTCTTTACTCTGGTTGTTATAGTAGTAAGGTTTGCCTGTGTCTGACTTGTACTCTTTCCAGGGACATTGCGACAGGAGCAGCTGCAAGAGGATGGGATAGGAGCCATCAGTGGGCTGGGCATGCTCTCCAGCCAGTCAGGGGAGCTAAGGAGACCCAGTGAGTAGAGGACACAGGAACCTTTAGCTACCACCTGGCCTGGCTCAAACTGGGGAAGGTGGACTTCTTGAGATCCTATGGAGATATTTCCAGGGAGGGTGGGGAGTGGTCAGGGACCTTGGACCTTGGGATCAGAGGAACCATCATGAGTATGGTTAGAGACTAAGGGAAGGCCAAAGACTTGGAAGGGTCAGGGCAGCTGAAAGGAAGGGCCAGAAAGCCCAGCTCAGGACCTCTGCCTTGGACTTGAGCACGCTGGGCTTCTCCCACACGGACTGCTTGTCGTCAGCATTGTAGTAGTAGATGCGCCCATCTGGGGCCACATGCTCACTCCATAGGGCCCTCTGGGTGGGGGGGGGGCACAGAATGGTAGTCAAGGCCCCTTTTCCAAAGCCTCTCCTCACCCCAAAGATGTAACCATCAGTCCCCGACTCTCAGGCTTTCTACCCAGAGACCCCTGAGCTGGAAGAACTCACCGGAGGGCCTGTCCCAGCCACAGCAGCTAGAAAAAAAAAAAAGCCACAGGATACATACTAAGTCCTTGCTCCAACCTCCATCTTATCCCCACCTATGCCTCCCGTATTCCATCCCCAGTAAATATTCCCCTGGTCCCATCAATATCCCAGGCTCCCTGGCATCCCAACAGGCATGATCCAGGGTGGGCTCCAGTCCACGGTCCCCTCTCCCCTATGCCCCCCAACCTCCGAGCCTGGGGGGAGCAGGCCCCCAGAAGACTCACAGCTGGCGGTGTCTGCACCCGGAGCCGTCTGCCGAAGAAAGAGGAGGGGGAAGGGTTGGGGCCAAGCCCAGTGGCCCCCAGGACCCAGGCCATGGGGGATGGAGAAGCAGGCCAGGCCAGAATCCATGTGTCCTGCTCCTAGAGATGTCTGCTCCCTAACAGGCTTCCCCCACCCTTTAGGGCCATGGCTCTGGGATCCCAGGGGAGAATCACATAGCAGCTCCATTCTTCGTTCTCCTCAAGTGAGAGTATTTGGTTGAGACAACTCCCAAGGCACATTCCTTCACAGTGGATGCCAAATTCTGTATCCTACCCAGACTCTGCTACACTGAGCAATAGCATAAGAAGGCACAGCAAGATCCCCAGGTGCTACTGACTCTTCTGGGGACAAAGAGGATGTGAAGAACTGTATTCATGTGTCCACAGTGTGTGGCTCTGTGAAAATAAGTGTGCTCCTTAAGGGAGCTGGACAAGGCATGGGAGTAACAAGAGAATGTATATGCCTTTGGGGATGAGTGGGAAACTAGAAGAGCTGAATACATGGCTGGCGAGGAGGATTTGAGTGTGGGGAGTGCTGCTGGGGACCTGGGTGGATGCGATGAGAAGAGGGAAAGAATGGAGGTTGTAGCCCTGTATTCCAAGTCAGACTCACGGGACTGCAGGGCAGAGCCTGCTACCTGCTGGCCCCTAGCGCTTACCGCTGCGGTGACAGGCACCGCTGGCATCAGCATTCCTGGCATCATCGGAGGTACCATTCCTGGTATCTAAGGATACAAAGAAGACAGAAACCAACCACCAAGGTAAGGGCTGGAACAGGAGGGACAGGGTACCTCAAAGGGTCCTGAGAGATCTCAATGGAGCCATGTCCCTCACTTGGGTACTTCCTCAGGCAATCCCCAGCTTCTGGCCTCTCACCTTGCCTGAGAGTTGTCTCAGTCATTCAGCAGACAAGTCCACATGGATCTGCCCCAAAGCTCCCTTCCTTCCCCAGTTTCTGAGGCCCACATGCCCACTCTTATCTCCACCCCCAGCTAAAGTGACAGGGTTTTCTGAGGCCCCAGGGGAGGAGAAACAATTACCTGTGTGAGTGGTGGTGGCGCCCCCATTGGTGGAAGCATTGGGGGCAGGATGCCAGGTGGCATGGGGGGGATAGCTGGTGGTCTCTGACTCATGGGGGGTAGCCCCATCGGAGGAAAGGGTGGGGGGATCCCTGGAGGGGGCATCTGGAAATGAGAAAAGGAACAGACACTGAGCAGGGAAGACATCGCCTTGTCAGAGGAAGAGAGGACCTGTCAGGAAATATCCACCGCCTCCTTCCCTGACCCTCCACCCTCCTCTGAGGCAATTCCAAGGCTTTAGTTTGAGAAGCACAAGGCATGAAACTGCCTCCCTCCTCACCACTGAGAAAGACTGATAACTGGGGTCTAACAGGCAAGCGCACAGCTTCTTAATTATAATGGGAAAGGAAAGGAATAATAAGGGAAGTTTAACAGCACCAGACTGAGACTGGAAGGCTCCACCTCTTCAGCAATTCTCCCCCAAAGAGGCCTCTCAGATGAAGGGGCAGAAGGCAGGTATCCAGGTACCCAAGTACCCCAGTCCCCTGCCTCCCATCCCTTTCTCTCCAACTCATGACCACCAATGCCATTCCAGCCCGAATTCTGTGGCATATTTAAAGAGCACAGGTAAGGAGTAGTGAAAGAGATAGATAGTCCCACCCTGCCCTCACATTAATGGGGTCTTTTCCCTTCCACTTCTCCTACCTCCAGCCCCAGTGTGTCCTAAGGTCAAAAAGACAAAGGGGGAATTGTCAATGTTATGTACTGAGAGCTTCACAACAGCTCTCCCCACCCCAATGCCCAAGTAAAACCATCCCTCTTCCAAGGGCAGCAAAAGGGGCATTACAGGAAAACTGTGCTGGTGATGCAGCAGTGGCTAGGGGCTGGGGAGCTGGGGGTGCAGGCTGGAAAAGCCAAGCCCAGGGAAAGACATAAAACTTACGAAGGGTGGTGGCATCATGGGGGGCCCCGGTGGGAAGGGGGCAGGCGCTGCTGGGGGCCGGGGACCAGAATCGGGAACCGACTGTTGAGGGAGAGAAAAGTCATAGGACCCAGGATGGGCACAGAGATGGGCTTTTTGCAGAAGGGAAGCAGAAGTGGTGAGGATGAAAAAGGAGCACAAAGTTCAGGAGGGTCTTCAAGCCCGATTTCCTGCCCACCCCAAGCCCTGAGCCCTTGGTAGGTTTGCTCTCTCGTGCCAGCTCAGAGCCAGCTGGCTGAGTCCCTTGAATGTCATCTTTATTTTGAAAGTTTCCATTTTGCCAAAGCAACAGAAAAGATGAAGGAGGCTTCACTACAGGCAAAGACTGGCTCTACCCAAGGATTCTAACCCATTCTCCTGCCTGTCGGCAAGGCTGTGCCTCTCTCAAATAACTTAGAGGTCTCTTCTATTCCCAAAGTATCTAGGGAGGGAGTCACCTCTTTTCTGGTTTCCCTACCTTAATTAGCCCATTTACAGAGATTGATTCCAAAGCTCTCTCAACACAAATAGTCGCTATTCTTTTAAATGCTTGTCTCCCTAATTCTCATCTCTTCATGACCAGTTTCCTGCCCTAATTGACCTCATCCTTAGCCACCTACTTTCTTTGACATCTTCCACATCAAATTGCCAACTTCATCTCTTTGACTTTACCTCTATCCCCTTTTTGGTGTCCATCCCCTCCTCTACAAATCCTGAATTATCTCCCTGTGGATATAGGCTTTGAACAGCTTAGGTTGCCCTGTCCTACCCCGAATGGCTGTCCGCATCCCATTCTTTAGTTCTCAGCTTAAGTATCACTTATTTTAAAACGACTTCCTGACTCTGTTTAACATAGCTCCTTCCTATTTCTCTATCTGATCCCCTTTTTAGTTTCCTTATGTATACAATTTTGTAATTATTATGTTTGCCTGGATATGTTTTCCCCAACAAGAGTGTAATAACATTCCATGAAGACAGGGATCATATCTGACTTGTTGGAAGCTGGATTCCTGGTACCTACCAGCATCTGGCACATAATAGGTATTCAGCAAATATTGAATGAATGAAGAACAAATGGAACAAACCTCTATATAGAACCTTCTAATTCTAAAAATTCATTTTATAGGCATAGCCCTACATGGCCAAAATGCTGTATGTTTAAGGTTTTCATTTCAGTATTATTTGTAAAAACAAAAGATTGGAATCAACATGAATAGCCACCAGTAAAGGGCTATGAAATTATACACATACATAAAATACAATACTAAACAATTATAAACAAGAATGAAGCAGCTTATTGTCTCAATATGATCTCTAAGATATATTAACAAGTGGGAAAAAAGCAAGGTGCAGCAAACTTTTATCATTTGTATAAAAATCAGAGACAAAAGATGACACACAAGAAATGGTAGAAAGGGACAGAGGTAAAGGGGAGACTTTTCCCTGTATGGCTTTTGTATCTTTTGAATACGCAGCCATATGACTGTATTGCCTATTCAAAAACAAACAAACAAACAAACTCATGTAAGTGAACCGAGGCTTGGAGATGGAGCTAAAGGGCCCAGCCCTTCTGCCTCTTTGCCTGAAAGTTAGTGGGTGATAGGGAGGAATTCCAGGGAAAGGTGGTATCTGGCTAAACAGAAGGTACCTCACTGCTGCCAATTTCCCCTATGCTGAGAATGCTCAGCATTTAAAAATGCCCTTTCATGTCTGCCTTTAAAATATCTGTTCCTGGCCAGATGCGGAGGCTCACGCCTGTAATCCCAGCACTTTGGGAGGCAAAGGCGGGCAGATGACGAGGTCAGGAGATCGAGGCCATCCTGGCTAACATGGTGAAACCCCATCTCTACTAAAAATACCAAAACAAAATTAGCCAGGCATGGTGGCAGGCGCCTGTAGCCCCAGCTACTTGGGAGAGGTGGGAGAATGGCGTGAACCCGGGAGGTAGAGCTTGCAGTGAGCCGAGATCGTGCCACTGCACTCCAACTCCAGCCTGGATGATAGAGCGAGGTTTCGTCTCAAAAAAAAAAAAATCTGTTCCTGGCCTGGTGCGGTGGCTCCTCACACCTGTAATACCAACAGTTTGGGAGCCCAAGCAGGCGGATCACCTGAGGTCAGGAGTTCGAGACCAGCTTGGCCAACATGGTGAAACCTCTACTAAAAATACAAAAATTAGCCAGGTGTGGTCGCACATGCCTGTAGTCTCAGCTACTGGGGAGGCTGAGGCACGAGAATTGCTTGAACCCGGGAGGCGGAGGTTGCACTGAGCTGAGATTGCACCACTGCACTCCAGCCTGGGTGACAGAGTGAGACTCTTTCAAAAAAACAAAACAACAACAAAAAAAACTATCCTTCACCTTGTCCTAAGAAGAAAAGGGTATGAGCTAAACTACTCCAATGTGACTCACCTTTTCTAAGTGCTCAACTGCTTTAGTTCTGTATTCAGACCTGCTCTTGCCCCTGACGCTTTCCTCAGCATGGGAAGTCAGAAACTAATCAATAGTGGTGGAAATACAATTTTCTGTGTCACACTTTCCTATCTCAAGCTGCCTCAGGAGCCTCTCTAACATCTTTGGGTCCTACCAGGCTCCAGGGAAGCCTGTCTCAGAGACTGGCACCGCACCAATCAGTTGTCCAAATGGAAACCCATGAGTCACTCTCTACAACTCCTTCTTCCTTGCCAATAAATCACCAAGTCTTGTTAACTTTACCTCCTCAAGATTTCTTGAATCTATCCATTTCTCTCCATTTCCTTTTCCACCCCCATCTTGTCCAAGCCACCATCTTTTTTCATCTAATTGCAGTGGCCTCCCAACTGTTTTCCCCACATCCACTCCAATCGGCAGCCATAACAAGCTCTTCAAAGTGCACCTCCGACTGTTAGCCCCCTGCTTAAAACTCTTCAATGGCTTCCCACTGCTCTTAGGGTAACTAGTAAACCCCCTGCCCAGTGAGGCTATGAGGGCGTCTGCTACCCAGCTACATTGCCAGCCTCCCCCATGCTGAGCTCCTGGGTCTCAGCTCCAGCCCTACTCACCTTCTCTCAGCTCTCCCACCTCAGGCATCCACCTTTGCCTGAGAAAACCGGGTTGGCCCGGCCAACCCCACACACCTTGCCTACATACACTTCACATCTACCAATCATTTCTTCATGAAAGCTTTTCCCAACTCCCTGAACTAGTCAGAGCCCTCTTTTATATACTTGTACAACACCATATACCTTCTCCTTCAGCAAGTATCCACTAAGATTTTATAGTTATTTGTACAATCCTGATTATATTATTATTCTATTTGGCATGAATAAAAAACAAATGCTGCCAATCAAATTATAATATCCTGTCAATTTAAAGATGCATCCTGACTTGACAAATGTTCAAATATGAGTCTCAGAATTATTGAAATATAATATCCGTAGCCCCTACTAGACTGAAAACACTGAAGGGCAGGGACTTCATCTGTTTTTGCTCACCTCATATCCAGTTCCCACTGTGTTTTCCTTACCACCCTCTAAGTAGGTGCTAATAAATATTTGTTAATTTAATGACTAAATGGTCTTGGCAAGTCCTACAAAACAGTAGGGGGCCACTGGTAAGTTAGGTCTAGTAGTTATTCAGGGAACATAGAATGTCAGAACTGGAGGAGACCCTGGCAGTCACCCCAGGTATCCCCCTTTTTCAGGGAATAATCTGTCCAAGGAGCCACTGCTGGTTAGGGACAGAACCAGGAATGGATCCAATCTGCCCTCTGGCCCTACTCCCTTAAAAGCAAAACTCCTGGCCGGGCGCAGTGGCTCAAGCCTGTAATACCAGCTCTTTGGGAGGCCGAGACGGGTGGATCACAAGGTCAGAAGATCGAGACCATCCTGGCTAACCCGGTGAAACCCCGTCTCTACTAAAAAATACAAAAAACTAGCTGGGCGAGGTGGCGGGCACCTGTAGTCCCAGCTACTCGGGAGGCTGAGGCAGGAGAATGGCGTGAGCCCGGGAGGCGGAGCTTGCAGTGAGCTGAGGTCCGGCCACTGCACTCCAGCCTGGGTGACAGAGCGAGACTCCGTCTCAAAAAAACAAAACAAAACAAAACAAAAAAAACTCCTACCACATGAAGCAGGTCTGTTTGCAATCTAGTATATCCCCTGCAACCTAAGTGGTTAAATCACCAACGACTCAACATGTTATTGATAACTTACAGGGTTCCCAATTGCCTACCCTACAAAATCTTTCATCTAACAGTCAAAGCCTTGCAACGAAGGCCACCCCACACTCTCCTTTGCTCATCCTGACTCAATGGCTTCCCTCCTCCTCTTTTTGCACAGAATTGTTAGATTACCCTCAGGTGAAACACATTTCTTTTATTCTACAGTCTCATGCTTTGTTCAAGATGATCCAATATTCACCTCCTCCAGGTTACCCTTATGACTATCCCACACACATACACACACTCCTACCTGTGTCCCTTCAGGATAAATGATGCACTACTTTGCAGAGTGACATGCTACTCTGTGAATGTTTGCTGGGTGTTTCATGTGGGACTGCTTGTCTCCCACTCACATGGGGATTTCCCTACATTCAGGGATTGAGTTTTCTCCTTTTATACCTCCCCCAAGTGTTTAGTCAGGGCCCTGCACACAAAGTGCTGTGATCAAATGCAGTCTCATCTCTAACCTTATTAGATTTTTGCATACTGGAATATCCTAAAATGCATTTTGAAAACAGCGAGTACACGTGTGTGTATGTACATCTGTATAAATTATCTGACTATAGGCTATGACAGAGAGAGGTAGCTTGACAGAGGTCTTTGTGGCTTGGAAAAAAGAAACTGGAATGAAATGTTGGCATGGGAAAACCTAATAAAGCTAACGGTATACAGTCATCTTCAACTTGGGATGAAGACCTCTGGCCAGGATTCAGACACTGGCCTATTCTGGACAGTTCCCCAGAGGACAGAACAATGGAATAAACATAAACTACTA